GTGCACTTTAGAATTCTTTTTCATTTGATTGTTACACTACCATCTCGCGCACTTTAGAATTCTTTTTCATTTGATTGTTACACTAACATCTCGCGCACTTTAGAATTCTTTTTCATTTGATTGGTACGTTAACATCTCGCGCACTTTAGAATTCTTTTTCATTTGATTGGTACGTTAACATCTCGCGCACTTTAGAATTCTTTTTCATTTGATTGGTACGTTAACATCTCGCGCACTTTAGAATTCTTTTTCATTTGATTGGTACGCTAACATCTCGTGCACTTTAGAATTCTTTTTCATTTGATTGTTACACTAACATCTCGTGCACTTTAGAATTCTTTTTCATTTGATTGTTACACTACCATCTCGCGCACTTTAGAATTCTTTTTCATTTGATTGTTACACTAACATCTCGCGCACTTTAGAATTCTTTTTCATTTGATTGTTACACTAACATCTCGTGCACTTTAGAATTCTTTTTCATTTGATTGTTACACTACCATCTCGCGCACTTTAGAATTCTTTTTCATTTGATTGTTACACTAACATCTCGTGCACTTTAGAATTCTTTTTCATTTGATTGTTACACTACCATCTCGCGCACTTTAGAATTCTTTTTCATTTGATTGTTACACTAACATCTCGCGCACTTTAGAATTCTTTTTCATTTGATTGTTACGCTAACATCTCGCGCACTTTAGAATTCTTTTTCATTTGATTGGTACGCTAACATCTCGCGCACTTTAGAATTCTTTTTCATTTGATTGTTACGCTAGCATCTCGCGCTCTTTAGAATTCTTTTTTATTTGACTGTTACGTTAGCATCTCACGCACTTTTAAAATTCTGTAATATTGCATTGTTACGTTGGCATCTCGTGCACTTTAGAATTCTTTTTCATTTGATTGTTACGCTAGCGTATCAAATGAAAAAGAATTCTATAGTACGCGAGATGCTTGTTTAACAATCAAATGATTACCAAGTTAAATCTTCCCCAACATTAAGAAATTCTGTTAACAACGACAGATATTCTAATGACTTTGGAAAGAGATATTTTGCACTTTTTCTTGGTGTTTCAAGACTCTGGAGCGAAGGGATTTGGTGGCAAGCGTCCAAAAATCCACGTGGCCACGTTAAATAATAGAATAACGTTCCAAAAATATTTAACTTTGATAACGTTATTATTTTATTCTATCAACAAAAGTTCCGCGCCTTGACTCAATCGAACTTTGAGATGAAAAGCTACAGAGACTCGAAATAAATGGCACGTGTTGGCTCCATTCGCAAACATGTCACGACTCATTTACCTTCCTTAAGAATTTCTTAAAAGGAAATGTTTTCCAAAGATAGCTTGTACTTTAGAATTTTTTCCATTTGATTTCCTTATGCTAAAAGTTACTCATTATATAATTGCCATGTCTCGAGTCGTGACATAGACTAAACTAAAATTTCCAAGTATATGATTAAACATGATCGGATATGATTCGAGACTTGTACGATCTCGAACCTACAAACGAACCAGAACAATGCAGAAACTACAAAATGACTGACTCGTCATACTGATATAAGAAAGCTTTCAAGAAGTGAAGATTTTTCTTTTATTGTAATGATTGCCAATCGTTCAATCACTGTGAATGGGTGATAGAACTTTGAAGCTTTAATACCATACGTGATGATGTAAATTTTCGTTGATTTCTTTCGACGCGTTTCGTCTTAAGCTGAGAATAATAACTGAAACATGCTGCAGAAATTACAACAATTACTTAAATATATAACATTGCGTGTTGTCATATTTCGGGGATCATATCAGCACTAAGCTTTAAAACACAATTCTGCTCCGCGTTCTCCGGCGTAAGAAAATCCACAATAATTAACTCGATTCCTTCCACTCTTCAGGACCTACACAGAAACAAAGGGAAAGAAAAGTTTAAAGAATTTCCACAAATACCACACGACCTATCCAAGACCTAGGTCTGATTATTAGTGCTTGCTATTAGGGATACGAATTAGGGTAGATTGCAAATTTATGGAGTAGCCAACTCAGTCTTGCAAACATAAAATAAGAGATTATTCGGACAGGCGGGTTTCTCCAACTAATCGGGTTACCTCGCCTTGGAAACAGGCCCCAAGAAACCCAATTCTTGGTTAACACGTTTCGAAAGATCTTCTTTGTCAAGTCGCAATCGTGAGAAAAAGAAAAAAAATTCACAGTCTATTCTCAAGTGTTAGCTACAGAGAACTTTAAGGCCCGTGCTCTTGAAGATATGAATAACATCCTTTATTCTTTCCACGCTTGCCTAACTTACGTGTTTACACTGAGATAATTTAACAGAGAATAACTAGATTGGCGGTACTAGAGCAAGCTTTAGTTAAAATATTGCACTATCATCAATTCAAGTTTCTGAAAGTTTCCTAGTCAGTAGCTAGAAGCGTCATTACTCAGTCGTACCGTTCATCGTTTTCCGTGGGAAAATTTCGGCTTGGTTGAATATTGTGACTTATATTCTCGCTTGCCCATCTCCTCTGCCCATTTGTTATCGTTCTGTTGGCTAACACAGCACGTTCATCATAAAGCAGTCATCAACGGTACGATGACACAGAGTAGGCTGAAAATGTCTTGAATCACAATCATGTTTGCCTGTAGAATTTTTCCCAAGCAGAGATGGAACAGGCACAACTTTCTGAACTGTTGATGCAGATAACTCGTCTGAATAAGTTGGATATTATTTTTTTACACTCCCACAGACTCCCCCGCGCACGCTTTTCCAAGTAGATTGTGGGAAAGTGGTGTTTTTTTTTAATCGGAAACTATCATCACAGAAGAAACCCAAACAATAGTCCTCATAAAGAAATTGAAATAGCTTTGATGCTAATGTCCTCTTACTGAGACCGACCTCGGTTGTTGGAACAAAACAGTAAATAACAGTTTTAAGATGGCCCTGTAATTATAGCGGCGCTTGTCCACCGCTAGCTGTAGTAAATCGCTCTTTGAATGAGAAAGTCATGGTGCATTTTAATCGTCCGTTGTCTTGGCAGAAAGCATTATTTTCGGCAGCCACGAATAACGTTCCTTCAACCGGAGTAGAAACCATCATTCAATTTAAGGTCTTGTTAGTAAAATGTTTGTCACTTTCTCGTCGATTTTATCATCTGTCAGACTCGAGTAGAGTTTGTGTGGTTGTAGTCAGTCAGTTTTGATCTATTGGAATAGTTGTGGTTTTCTTCTTAGTTTGTTGGTTATGTTCTGATCATAAAAAAAGTCGTCTCCAAGATGCAGTGCTGTTACCCATTCCGTTTAGTTTTATTTTCATCTGCGTGCTGAGAGGACTTCGTTTGACGACAATGAACTATTTTTTTCTGGGTCAGTAGTTGAAAATAGTCATTCTTGTAGGTCGATAATATCAAGTTAACTCTCAGACAATAGTGGTGCTACACAAATAAAAAGGCAAGAACGGCTTCAGCTGTTTCAAATTTTCAAATTTCATTCGAACTTCATACGAGGTCTTACATTACAGAGCCATCTTAACAAATATTTACCTTTTGAAACATCAGCCAAGGTACACCTGGGATGCCAATTGTTACACAAACAAAAACTGAGCGATCGGTTATATGAAATTAATAGATTTAGTCCCAGTTTTCTGTCGTCACAATTGATCCAATGTCCATCTTCTGCTTTTGCTACTTGAGGCGATGCAATGAAAGTTTTCGAGATAATTTAAATCAAATTAGAGCCAGCAGTGGAAACGAATGAATAGATCATATGATCGCTCAAGGTCTCAGTGCATAACAATGTGTATCATTGCAACCTAGTCTAGACAAGTGGTGGCAACTTTTAAACTGATCACATTCCAACTGATTGCAACAAATACCATCCACGAGTAAAAAAAAAAAACAAAAAAAAAAAACAAAAAAACACAAGATGTTTAGACAGCCACCATTTTTTCTATTGTAACTCAAATGATGTTAAAGTTCTTATCTTTGCGGCATCCTCTTAATATCCCGTGACTCCACAGTCCTCTCTTGGCCAGGTTCTTTTTCCATTCATCCTTCTGACAATCATCTACAACCTGAAATATACGAATCATCGATATGATTAGAGACTAATTACCAATTTAAAGGTAAAATTTCCGCACAGCCCCATACTTCATTATGCATTCAGTTCTTGAACAGAGAAAACAATGACAAAAACACTACATTTCCATTGGGAAAACAGATTTGTTTTATAATAGTATGGGGCTGTGCGGAAACTTTATCAATTTAAATCTACTCGTACATTTAGAAATACTGTTTACAATGATATACTTTCTTAAGAGTTTGGAAAGAGATGTGTTAAGCTATTTCTTGGTGTTTTTAAGACTCTGGAGGGAAGGAATTTGGTGGCAAGTTTTCAAAAATCCACGTGGCCACACGAAATTATAAAATGACGTTCCCAAAATTTTTAACTTGATAAAAAATTTACTTTAGCTTTCAAGGGAACACACATCGTCCTAAACATGGTTTGCTAAAAATTCATTAAGATTGAAATATTGATTAAGGCATTGGAGGTTCAAAGTCATGAATTTGTGTGCACGCTCACCAGTTAAACGAAATAAATCAAAAGAATCATTGGTATTTTGAAAAAAAAATCAAGAGTCTGTTTTTGAAAACAGAAATCTGCTATCGAGAAGGTGACTCTAAAACTGAAAAAGGATTTTAAAGAAATTCACCGGTAGGGAATTGAAATTTGCTTTTACGACTTTGATAAAACTGAGAAAATATCTTGGATTCTAATCAAACATAAAAACTATAAAGCCTTAATTTACAATTCCACAAATAAATGGTAAAGACCACTACGAAGAACACCTGTTAGGGACTTTAGAAACCACGGCGGCGACGGTAAGGAGAACGTAGCAAAACAAAACGGCTACTGAGCAAAACAATGACACAGCGCGTGCGTCTTAAAACTTTGAACAATTCTCAAGCGTCCCAAACAAAACAAAAACGTGAAATCACCAAGTTTTACGTCCTTTTGGCAAGGAAACCTCGACAGAAATTTATTCAATTACAGCATAAATTGCAAGCGCAAATGCACACCGTACACAGTTTCTTAAAATTGGAACTTAGCATGTTACATCTTTTTTTCGCTCTTCCTTTTCCGATATCTGTTTCCTGTGACGTCTATTTCTTATCATCATCACTTTCTCAGGCATTGCGGCGCATTTCACAGGACAAAACTTGAGATTTTAGCGGGCTTAAATTTATTTTAGCCCGCTCACACGCTCGAGTGACTGTTTAAGCTGTTTTATTTTTATTTTTTTCAGTTTTTATTTTCCCAATGCCCTTCAAATGCTTTTCATATTTATAATTCTATGATAATTCGCATCAATATTTCTTTGGAAAAAGTCTGATAAACATTATCATCCACATAAAGACAGCACAAACTGTTATTATCATTATCCAGAGCCACATGGAGCAGGGCGTCTGTGTCAACTCTTCGAGTCTTTCCGATTCTCTTTTCAGTTTTTCGAAATTGTTGTCTGCAAGTTTTGTTGAATTCTCCAGTGTCTAGATGAGAAAAATGAAAAAAATCATTTCAAAGCATTTTAGAAACTTCAGAAATCTTGCTCACTCGCACTTTGAAGTAGCCTGCAGAGCAGGGGTAATTTTGGTAAGCGATTTGCTTCGCATTTTCTTGGTTGTTAAACAAATTCTCCTTATTAGCACCTAAGGGAATGTACAGAGAACAGAAGGGAGAATATGCATGCAGATGTTCATGTGTAAAGGGCTCACAATCATCAGGAGCTTCTTTTGTTGGTGATCATTTCCTTTACTCTCATGACCTTGATGTGTAATTCAGGGGTGATATTGTAAGGAGAAATTAGACGCTGGTCACTTACAGCTGAAAGGGTTAACCCCTTACACCCTAACATCAGTATGCATAATCTCCATACTGTTCTTTATACATTTCCTAAGGTGCTGACAAGGAGAATTTGTTTAACAATCAAGAGCTTCTTTAGTTGGTGATCATTTCCTTTATTCTCATGACCTCAACTTGTAATTCAGGGCTGATATTGTAAGGAGAAATTAGAAACTAGTCAAGGTTGAAAGGATTAACGAACCTGGAGTAACAAAGAGAACTAAATGCTCTTCTCACCCAGTTGCATTCAGAGAAAACCCACCTTTGAATCCTCTTTAATAATATTACCGGCCATGAGTGATGTATGCTTCAAGCTCTGTGCCATTCTGATCATTTCCTCTGCAATATTTTCCTGCATATTCTGGTGATGTTGTAACACTGTGTCTATGTTCCCATCTTTGGTTTCTCTTTTATCACCTGTTGCCCTGAAATGAAGTGCAGCCAAGTAGAATCAGATCTGACTATAAACATTACATATATGCTGTGTGTAATTTACTGGCTAGCCTGCAGAACAAGTATGATTTTTTTCCTTTCCACTTTTCAGGTGAGTGAAGGCAAGTGGCAGGTAAACTTGAAAGGCGAGACTATACTAACATTCACTTCTTCAACTTGCATATGAAGTTGAAATCACTGTTTTGTCCTTACCCTATTATGAAACTACATGTGATCTATTGTTGAACAGACACACCGCAAGACAGAAAGTATTCGTAAATTGTATACTTATATGCTTTTCAAATGCATGTTGATCTTAATAATATAAGTTTTGTAAATTAAAAAGGATACTTTAAACTTATTTGTAAATCAGTGTTATGGGAACAATAGTACCAAATATGCAGTTGATTAAACTTGTGATTATTCATCAATAAGTAATAAAATCATTCAAAGCTTCATTCTAAATGACAAAATAAATTTTATAGATGACACTGTACAAATAAAGCAAATGACTGTTCTTACCTCTTCCGCAAGCCTAGAGGATCCTTCTTGTCACTGTCTACATTTCAAGGAGAATTAATAAACAAAATTTTTTTTAACAGTTACAAGGCTCATAGATTATATACTGACAATTCTTGTGCAAGGGTGAATCCAGGAATCTTTTGATGGGGGAAGGGAGGGGGAGGTTCCAACACCACAGCCTTGATAAACCAAGAACCATTTAAAGAGAAGTAAATATTCAATACTTCATATTGAGTAGCCTGTCATTGCAAAAACTTGGTGTCAGACTAGTGGTAAAAAATTATGTTACAGTCTGGTACAGGGGGAGTCCAGACCCCCCTCCCTCTCCCTCTCTGACCCTTCTCCTAAATTGGAATCAGATAAATGGTAAAAGAATCCACTGTTCTAGAGTGGAGAGCCAGTCTGCACCCCTACCCCCACACTCACTGACCCTTCTCCTTCATTGTTGTTGGGCAAGAGGTGAAAAAAAAATCCACTGGTCTGGAGTGGGAAGGGGGGGGTGGGTCAGATGTTTGCACCCCAAACCCTTACCTTGGGCCTGCCACTGCTGTATCATAAAAATAAAAGCTTTAGAAGTTTGTTCTTACCAGTTCCTAGCAGTTCATTTCTCATTTCCCTATTTATCTGTGATTTTGCCTTGATATGTAGTTCTTGTCCTTTATTTAATGGCCATCCTGCGTCTCCTGCTCGGTTAGTTTGGGTGGGTGGCTGACTCAATGGTCTCACCAACTGCTGGCTGGCAATCAGCTTCTCAGTTGGTGATTTCTAGAATAAAACCCCAGCTAATACTTAATTGATAATCATGCAGCAGCCATTATTAAATAAATTTGCATGCTAATTTCCTCCTAGCACAGTGACCAGGCTCGAACCTACATTGAACCTGTGCATATAAGTTAAGCTTACTACCTACTGGACTACAAATTCATATGCTGGGAGCTAGATAAAGTTTGAAAATTCATTTTTACCCCCATAAATGTATCTTATCACAAAGAATTTCCATAGCTAAGTATGGCAGGATTTATGTGCCTGAAAAAACAAAAGTCAATATAATTTTCATAGAGAGTGTTTCTTTAGTGCCAATTTTCATAGAGAGCCAAAAAATATTGATTTAAAGTTCAACTTAGTCACTGTTAAACCCATTGCCATTCTTACCATTTTATGAGTTTCAATGAAGCCTTTCAGGAACTCCACCTTCTTGGTGTACTCATTCATTGCATCAAGACTTGGTTTGCTGTTAAATAAGATTAAATTTCAAGAGAATGACAAAGCCACTACACTGTTTATAAAGAAGTATTAGTGAAAAGAATAAAAGGGGTAAATTTCTAAAGAAAATGTCAGTGGTGATGCATGGGTGGGAGAGTATAGCAGGGTAATTTAGTGTTATCAACTGAGTTGATAATGTAAATTGGCCACCATAAAGAGCTTTAAAGCTGATGTCTTGACCGTCAGCCCTTTGTCTTTTGCTCTGATGAAGAGCCAATGCTTGAAACATCAGCTTTAAAACTCTATACAGTGGCCAATTTAAGTTGTCAACTCAGTTGATAATACTTAATTCCCCTGTTAGTGAAAAGACACTGGTTCTCCGATGGAAAGCACAAAGGATCAGAGGTTTGAAGCAACTCTCAAACTTACAATCAGGGAGTTGCATGGTGAGAAATAGAGAGCATAAAGACAAGCTTTATCATTGAGCCCCCAGAGTTACTTAATATTAACATCTCCCATGTATTGTTCCACTTAATTACATCCCATCAGCCATTTTTCATGTCTAATGTCTAAGTAGTTATGAAACAAGTTGAGTTTTTCCTGTTTTGTTTCTCAGACCTTTTGCAAAAAAAAAACAAAAAAAAACTGAGGTAGAGATAAAGGACAACAGATACTTAGCCTCCCCCCCCAAAAAGTTTTGAATCAAACTAAAATTTGAGCTTTAACATAGACATTCCAGTCTACAAGAGACCCTTTCCTTGATAAAAATCAAATTATATTTGGCTTATTTGCCAGGAGATGTGTAAAGGGGAATCTGGTTAGTATTTTTGAGGTGTTTTTAAAATACCCACTTGCTTGATTTCCGTAGTTCAGTGACTTGTCTCTGGAGGGTTGATACATACTGTGAACATAAAAGTAATTTTTTTTAACTGCAAACATCTGTGTGCATATTCTCCATACAGTTCTCTACACTTTCCCTTTGGTATTGACAAGGAGACTTTGTTTTACAATCAAGAGCTCCTTTAGTTAACAACCAATTTTGTTTTTCTCTTAACCTCCATATTTGATTCCGCAGTATTGCTGTGAGGAGAAATTACGTGCTGATCACTCTTGGGGGTTAAAAAGTTTAAAACGTACTAAGCATGGCCAATTTGATTCCATTTTGATTTTAGTTATTTGTCAATTCAGTCTTTTTTGGTGCAATTTTTCCCTTCCACTGATTTCGTATAGCTGTGAAACCTCCTTTTGCTCCACTTGTCACCACTGTATTGAATCATTAAAAGGTTTGATGCAGGGATGTGAAAATGTTTTGGTTATTTGGTTTTGATCGATTGTTTTGGCAGTTTTCCGATTTTTAATGACTTATTCTATGGTTTTGCAGTTTCTTATATACCCTAATACCTCCCTCCCATGTATATCATCTGGCAAGGCCCCTTATGTTTATATTTCTAGTAGTTTTCATAAGCAATGAATGATAAAAAAAATGATGTTGCAGTGAATAGTTTCCAGGTTTTATTAATATGTTACACCAATAAGGTTATCACTTGTTTTCATAACTTTTATTGACTGAAGTCAATGGTTTCTATATATTTTTTTCTATCGCCTTAGGTCAAGCATTTCTCTTGTTTATTTCATTCAAAAGGAGGAAATTTCTCAAAGCCCTGAAAGCAAACTGTTTCCCTGTCTGTGGGAATAGCCGCTCACGATGAACCAGTAAACACGGTACAAATTGTATAAAATCAATCACTGTGATGTAAAAGATCACGATGTACGTGAAGTCGTTAACAATAATGTTTTGGAATAGAAACGTTTTCAGAGAGGTGAATTAACATTAGTGATGTAATCTTACCCGATCTAGTCTCCAGTTTACGTTCTCTTTGTTTTCTTGAGTCTCCTCCGCCATAGCTTCACATCGTTCTAAAAGTCGCCGAAAATTTATTTCCAGTTTCGAGGCCGCCATGTTGGCAACTTTAAATTTACATGGGTATAAGCTTACTTGTAGTGTATCACATAGAATTGTGGTGCATCGTGTAGGCTCACAGCTTAGCTGAGCACCGGAAGATTGCTGACTGTTTCTCGGCCAGCCCCTTTCCTATAATGACGAACTCAGTAGAGGTGTGAAAAATGGTATGTTTGGGATAAAATTAAGGGTCAGGATTTGAAGCACGGATAGCACACCCCTACCCCCCTCCCCTGGGGCTGTACTCGATTATGGATATGGCAGGCCTATTGCGAAGTCACGGACTCCTGATATAAGAAATGTGTTTAACATTTGGACACCAACATCATTCCGTTTTCAGGAAATACGAATCATATGAAAGGGTGGTTACAGCCCAATGCCTCATTTTTCGCAGTTTTGATTGTTACGTGGTTACAACTTCCTCAACTCATCGCAAGGCAAGGCAAAGAGTAACAAGCCTCTATAATTACTGAGTTTTTCTCACCCCCAGAATTCTTATAATTCGAAACGAAAATCACTGATACCCTGAATTCCGCTCAGTTTTCTCTCAATGCCATGTGGTTAACTTTGCTAAGACGTAGGGATTAATTGGAATCATGCGGAATTTTTAAGTATTCTCGTCCGTGTGCGGCGCTCGATCATTTATCACTTATTGCGCGACATCTCTCGAGAGCGTGACAACCATACCATCTTAACTTAAAATTTACATTCAGATTAGATCTCTTTTAGCTTGCCCTTGGGAAAATCTTGCTTTATTCGTGGCAGTTTCTTAAAATGACCACGTACTTTAAATATACAGATAGGGGCATGCCTTAGCATGTATTCCGGTGAATAAATATTCGGATCGATGTCTCAGAGGTAGTTTGTGACGTGTATTTCGGTTACGTCAATCAGAGAAATTATGAAACAATGTTTTTATATGAATCGACCAAGTATTGTGCGGGTAGAAGAGAACTGTGTCTGTACTTGTCAGTTCCGTTTTTTCACGCCCGTTCTTTTAAAGAGACCTGTGTTTTCAGAAAGGTTTTAGATCCGTCGCAACCAGGAGCAATTCGCTGTACCTTTCCTGTTTACGTACTTGTGAAATTCTGAGGACTTCAGCATTACTCAAGAAATCAAGGCGAGTATACTTGGTCTTAATAGCAAAGCTGGTTACACCGAATGCAGTAAAAATGTGTATTTGGTTATATTTTGGCTATGATATTGTCGAAAATATCTATAAATATTTCCCTATGCCAAGGGCCGATCGATGCGTTGTGCGTGCAAACACGATAACAGTTAAAAAATTGTATCTATCATTCCACAGGCAAAAAATGGCTTCCGTTCCGATAAGTTCAGCGTATGTGAAGCAGTTGGAGAGAAATTCCATGTCGGAAACGAAAGCACAAAGTAATGGTACTGAACTGGCAAAATATGAGAAGAATCAGGATATTGCACAAGAAAGAAGGCCTTTTTCTAGTTGCATCTGTAATGTGCAAACGATGTTACAATCTTCCCTCCAGAGTCTGCAATTTTTCTCATCAGCGCCAAGTGAACAACGGTTTAAAGAGTGCGTGGATCGTCCCTAAGCACGGATTTGCAAGATACGCTAAATTTTATCTGAGTGGAAGTGATTACGAAGTATTTTAACAGGGAAGAAGCACCTCTTTCATTTTCGGTCTCCTTGACTATCGAATCCTTTTAAAACATACGTGACCTCTTTCATGTATGTGTCAATTGCGCGAAGCGCTGAAAAGCCTGACTAAACAAAGTGGCACGTGAACTTAAATAACAGCCAATCTTTGATCTTCTCATATGAGGAAGTCGAGATCGGGGTAGACGTCACGCCAATGAGATGCTCCCTTGTAATCGAAGGTTCAAAATCACAACATGTGTTCAGGATTCACGTGTAACAATTTGACATGTTTTATCTCGGAAATCAGTTTGAGGAAAGACTGAATAAATCGCGGTTATCATGAATTCTCCAGTGGATATTCTGGAAGCCAATTTCTGCATTTTGCACTCGGTTCAAGCAGACACTAGAAGAATCATCTCAATATCCCAGCGCGTGGGAGGAAACATAAGTTGCTCGTTGCGTAAACAGCAACGGAAATCCTATATAATGCCTGTCTTGCAAGTAAGCGTAGCAAAGAACTGTATGCATTATGAATTATGAAGTTAGACGGCATTTTGCCGAAAACATTCATCGTGTCGATGATTAACAATAAAATAATTTTATAGTCGTTTTTCCTACGTTGTATTTGGTTAGAGTAAATAGTGACAGGATTGTGGTGTTTCTATTGTATTCCTAGTCAACCCTGTCGTTGTGGTCGAAAAAAAATTAGATCAATATCCCGTAATGCAGACTTATCAAACAAACGTAATTGTTTCTCAAATCAAGCGAGAACAATATCTATTTTTCATGACTATTGCATGACGGATCTGGGTGCTGCTCCGAGACAAAGGCTGTCTGTCATTAGGACATTTCAGAGGACGAGAACGATCTCTGTTCCCGTCGCTTTCATTAAGTGCGTGCGATTGATGGAACAAGTGTTGTCAAATTGATTTCGGAAAACGTTGACGTTTCCAGCCAGTTTTTCCTGACGCTAATTTCTAATTTCCAAAGACGATTGTTGGTTCCAAATCGAACAAAAATTCAGGATTTGCTCTGTAAAAAGGTCAGGTAAGAAGCAAAGTAAAATGTACTCTTTACCTTAGTTGACCCTCTGTCTCAACCGATAGGCTCTTGAAGCGTCAAGTCTTTTATTTAGATTATTTCTTTTAGGATGGCATCTGTGCCAATTAGTTTCGCTTATGTGAATCATCTTCATACGGATACTTCGCCTGGTGAAAAGACGCAAGTCACCAATTTTACAGAAGTCACTGGAAGGGACAACATTCAACTTGAAACACAGCGAAGATGGCCTTTCCATATAAAAGCTCAAACGCAGTCACAAACACCACTGTCTTCGCCCCAGAAGTCATCCCGTCTCATTTCGAAGTGAACTAAATCCCAAATTACGCTTGCCTAGATGATGGATCATCACGGTGTAACATAATCCTGAGTTTAAAGTTCTGGAAAGCGGTTTGTCGTGGATGTGTGTGCAAAGCTTAAACATAGACCTGAAAAATTAGGCTAGAAATTTGACTTGTTAGTCAGACACGAAAATTCATCCGAGGTTTTGGGTACGTGATCACTTGTGTTTAATCTCGATTGCGTAACAAATTTACCTGCAAAAGAGACGTGATAACGTACATGTTCCTTAAGTTCGTCACGCGATCTGGCCGTTGAATGACGGACCAACTAGAAACTGTTCACGGCGGCAACGTCCATGTTCGCCAACTGAGATGACAAAGATAATTCAAAATTGCCCTTTCTTTGGGTGAATCACGAATTTTAAGAAAGGAAAGTTTCCGTCACACGATCGAATATCCCGAGCGAATGACACTTAATAAATTGTTAGTAAAAATTATCATTTAATCCCTGAGGATATTTTACAAGAGGGTGTTGTGATAGCTTCTACTGAAGCATAACAAAATGAAATTCCTTCTTATTCTTTATTATCTTATCCCTTTGGTCAAAACACTTTGCCAAGTTGCTCCTTTGGTCAAATGCCTTTAATAGGATAATTTTCCCTTTTTTCCTAAACCATCCAATCATTAGATATAGACAAAAAGAATTATACTGAGTTTTCTTTCTAAGCTTTCAGATCTGAAAACAGACTTCACACTGACTTTGGCTTCTCTTAATTTAACTTTGAGGAACCCGGTCCTGAGAAATAATTCTATATGCTTTCTTTAACTTTTATGTACCAAAAAGTGCTCCCTGTTTTTCCTCTTTTGATTAAAACTATACACGAAGGAAAGTGTAAAAAAAGTTTAAAAGGAGACAAATATGTACGGGTAAGGACTTGAGGATCGACTTGTTCTGGTCGCTGATAGCTAGCCCAAGGTATGCGCAACCTACCGATACTGATGTGATCGTTACTGATTGAAGAGCAAACATATAGATGACTTCACCATTCACAACATTTTGATCTTTCATCATGTACAAGTCGATTTCATGTTGCCGCGCGACCGTTCAAAAAAAAAAAGAAATCACAGAAATGCTTTAAAACGCGGTACGAACAAAAAAAGTAGCATGACACATCCCCAATGGTGAGCTTAAGTACACGCATAGACAACATAATGGTCAGACTGATGGTCCCAGATTGCCAAGTATTTATTTACATTTTCTAAGCTCACACTAACACTGCTTGTCTTAACTGACCATGGATATAGTCAATCCAGTGACCCTCATAGATAGAACTATTTACGTATATTCCATAAAGTCAAGTATACAAATTAGACATATATCGGACTGGTCATATGAAGATGAAGACGTGTTCATTTTCAAGATGACAAGTGGTCAGATAAGAAATTTAAACTATATCTGTTCAAAAAAATTTGCCCAAGAACTCCGCGTTACAATTAAGACACGCCGACCTGGCTAGCGATTCATCCTTAATGGAAAAAAAAAAACCAGAATCAAAACGACAAATTCCTAACCAATGTATCTCTGCTTACAGACCGTTCCAGTGTCTATATACAAATAAGGAACCTGAAGATTCCTTCCGCAACAAAGATGTTCAAAATGATCATTCGAAAGTGCGGTCGGCTAGAGAGCTTCTGTCAAAGCGTGACAAACAAATGAAAAGCGATACCTGCAGGACCAAAACCTTAACTTCTCACGGACCGTTCCTTTTCCTAAAACCAACAACCCTAGAGACTGAAAAGATTCCCCACGACTCTTGAGTGCAAGTATAAACAAAGCAAACTTTTATAAAAGTTAATCCGAGTTATTCGAATTCATCCAAATTGTATAACGTTTTTCGAAGTTTGCAGGAGCTTTATCACGGTATTTAGGAGCTATTTTAGCAACGTGCAAATCTATCTGCGACTTAGAGGAGTCTACAAAATACTACTTTGGCAAGAGAGAAAAACACAATAGAAGCAACGTTAAAACTGTTAGGAACAACGATAGCCTTGGATAGAGAAGATCGACCAGGATTGAAAACTTTGGCTAAATCCCTTAGGATGCAAAACCCAAGACAAAGCTTCAAAACGCGTAGATGTTCTTGCCGTCTCGGTCTTCAAGGCGAGGTCCAAAGGGCTAAATTTAAAGGAAATAATAAGACTCTCCGCTCCCAATAGAAAAAAAAAAAATCAATATATGCAAAGATAACAGATAAAAGGTGAAGATAAAAATTAGCCGCCCAGCTTTCTTCTTTAGTGCCTTCGCGTCGACCAGTCGTTGTCAGTTAAAGACAACAATTCGCTGACAACGTTCGCTACATTGTTGTTATGTTTCTCCAGCAGCTGTTCGTTGAGCCTGCGATCGCAAAAGCCCATCTCCATTAGACATTCATGGCAGGTAGAAGTGGATCGACCAGGAGGCCAGGTTACTTCGTTTACTACAGGAGCCTCCTGTGAGGGGAAGGAGTAGAAATCATGTAAGTTAAAACAGGTAATTCACCACGACAATCAGGTGAAGATTCCATGCATTAGAAGAAGAAAATTCATAATTTATTATAGCCGTAATAAAAGCAGGAAAGCTTGGGTGTCGAGGAAAATAGCATTCGTATCAGGTTGACTTTTGTGGCTATGAAACATTATGCATTTTAAGCGCATTAGATCATGTACCATGTATTTTGCGCTATACAAATAATAAAGTTATATTGTACAATTCACAGTGGTGAACGGGCTTTGAACTGCGTGCGGCTTAGGCGCTGTAGCCTGGGCATCACTGTTCATCCAAAACGAAAATTCTCGCTCGCAAGAGCAAAAAGAAACGTAACTGGTGACGAATGAAACGTAAATCCGCGCAAGCGGATCATGCGTTTTTTTAGTTCAGTCCATACCATCCGATTCGGTTTCGAAATTCAAATTATATAGTTTAAAGTTAAAGCAACCAGAGGTTCGACACCTTCAATGCGCTAACCCATATTTCAATTAAAATTCTAAGCGTAAGGAAAATTGAGAGCTGGTTGGCTTACATTAGAAGATGGTTCCGCTTCTGATGGCCGATTAACGGACACTTCACATCCTTGCGCGGGATTGTATGTTGCAGTCGCCTCAGGTTTTGGTACACCAGAAAGGAAATTCTCCACAGTAGTGTAAACAGCCCTTCCTGCGCTGGCTGCGGCATCTATCGCCGTGGACAATACATCGGATACCACACTGGAAGCAAAATCACTACTAGCACTGTTCTGACGGACTCGCTTCACAACCATGACTTCACTAACGGGAACAGTAGTAGGGACCACCACGACAGGAGAGGATGGTTCTGGCTGCAAGGCAACAGGAGCAGGTTCATCACTGCTGGAGACAGGCTGTGCTGCTATTGGCTGCGAGGTGACATCTGGTACTGCAGGAGCCCCCGTCCTCTCATCATCATTATCACCGTTGTCATCTTCATTAACATCACTTTCGTCCTCATCGCGTGCCGCTGGTTCAGGAGCAGGGACGTTTACAGGCTCAGTTATGATGGGCATTTCGGGTAGAGTGGGTTCGCAGCTCAAGTCTCTTGGAGGTTCCTCCGGTGCTATAGGACCCTCCAACCGTGGTTCTGACATAGGTGGATCAGGAAGTTGTGGGATTGAGTCATTTAACGGTTCAAACACTCTGTCATCCTCATCGACAGTGGTCCTGGAAATTGTCTCCATACTAGTGTCGTCACTGCTCACACTCCTTTGATCGATGAAAAAAGTAGTACCAGGAACTCTATCGAGCTCGGTTTTAAGAGGGGGCTGATCGCTGAGGGTAAATGAAAATGCTCTTTGTTGACTCTCGGTCATTTGCTTATATTCTGTGACACTAACAGTTACCGGGGAGGGATCTGCAGTCAGGGGGGCGTTTGGGTCAAAGCAAGGAGGGACGGGTACCACCATGAACTCGTCGGACATATCAGTGGCGATGCTTTCGACGTCACTTGTTGCATCTGTGGACACAAAATTAAAACGTTTTAAGAGAAAACAATGTGACATCTCAACGGTCGATAATCTTTGTTCGCGACACACGAGAAAGATGCTGAACGAAGCCTTACAACAGTAGTTTACTGACGCTTTTTTTAATATATATTTTTTTCGGTTTATCGTCCACATTTTGACCAGTTAGGTCCCTCGTTGAGCCTATTGTTGGGCTTATTATCCATGTGTTCGTGCGTTCGCTTCTATGCTTGAACTCTTTGTTTTCTTTTTCCCGTTTCTACACAAACAGTTTGAAAAAAAATTTAGCCAGAGAAGATTTGTTGGAAAATAAAGCACTCTTCACAAGCCCCTTTCTCTTCTCTTTTATCATCGCACATCGCCCAGAACGTGAATGAGATGAGAGAATGTCTCGATTGAGAGCACAAGGGAGTGGAGGTGGGAGTACTTCCTTCCCAGCGCACATAAAAAAAAAATGGGTGTGAACAACCTATGCCCTTAAAACCATCACAAGAGTTCACACCTTCCACAGCACAAGCCACGAGCTCCTCTATCTCAGCTCTGTCAAAGGACTCTGCTTCCAAGCCACACCCAGCTGCATCCCACTCCAGCTCGGAGACCTGAGCAGTTTGGCAGGACACGGTCACAGATTCTAACGGCAGCCTAATCTTCTCGAATTCTGCTGTGTCCTCGGTAGAACTAAGGTATACGTCTGATCCCGATGCTTCGTCCGGTTCCTCGGCCATTGGTTCCTGAAGAACTAAGTCCTCCACAAGCTTCCTGACAGGGGAGGTGTCGCGTTCAGGGAATGCACTGTTAACCAGGGTGGTGCTGTCATAACTGGGGTACTTAGGGGCTTCTTGTTTGGGTGAAAAAAAAAAAAACATGACATAAGACTTCTGACACTTAATATTCTATAAAATATATTTCCTGCAGCTGTTGTCGTGGATAAAAGAAACCGTTTTGAGAATCAGCAGCCGCAAACTTCTTTAAGGTCAAACTAAACACTTTCACTCAAGAAAGTTAAAGATAATTGTCACAATTTGGAAAACTCACACGACAGCTTAAATTTGAATTCATACAGTTACTACATTCTAAATTAACGAATGACTAAATCATACAGAACTGACTTACTAACTGACTAACAAATAAAATTAACAAAATATTTAATAAGTGTTTTTACACACACTGTTTGAAGCGGACGAATAATACCTGTCTCTGTTGGGCTGTCCTGATTAAGCAGCATCTCACTTTCAACTTTCTCCTCTTCAACAACAATCTGACACCAGAACAGAGGGCCAAATGGGATACTGTGATGACACAGCTGCCATTTACTACAACAAAAATACACCAATAATTATTTCTTGACACTGTAGGAGTACAGTGAATGGGCATTCAAGACATCGTTATTTTCAGGTAGACATAACTTCTTTAAGGAGCTATGTAACTTAACGTTTATCACTTTAGAAAGAAAAATTCAATGTGGAAAGTTGAAAAAATACAACGAAGAAGCAAAGTTATTTTCAATTCAAAATCGAAAGTTTTCCACAACTGCATTGGTTTCGTTCTTCTCTGCTCAGTGATTGGTCCGGAGAACTCGCGCAACTATTTAGACCAACCGGATGCCAAACTAGAAACAATTGCGACTTGTTCACATACGTTTTGAGAACACTTTTCGATTGAGAACGGTGCAACCAAAATCAAAGTAGCCACGACAGCCAATCAGTAGAGAGGAAGATATCGTAAAGAGCCCATGAGATCTCAAAGTAAAAACAACCAAGCAGCCAAAAGCGCGGGAAAACAAGGGCGGGAAAACAAGGGCGGGAAAACAAGGGCGGGAAAACAAGGGCGGGAAAACAAGGGCGGGAAAACAAGGGCGGGAAAACAAGGGCGGGAAAACAAGGGCGACGAAGTCGTGATTGGTTTTAGTTTTGTATCTGATTGGTTGAGAGTGTGTCACAAGTTTTCAGGACCAATCAAAGAGCGAATAGAACAAAACTAATGTAATTCCGGATTACCTTCAGCACTCAGTTGAAAATTGCTTTATAGCGCTTAAAAAATTTGTGTGTTTTAACTTTGAGCTCTCACTAGTTTCTTGTAATAATTCCCTTTCTTCTGATTAACTATTTTAAGAGGACGTTTCCGAATTACCTCAGCCCTCTTTTTCAAAACGAGGCCTTGTGCTCAACCAGTCGTATGAAAATAAATTAAATTTGCGTATGAATGAAAACATATATTCAGATGAAAAGATGAGCACCAGGACTCGCTGAAATGCGCTCTAACAAAGCGAAGAGGAGTGAGAATGGCTCGAGATGCTAAAAATCAAAACGGACTTTCAACGACAGAGCTGACGTTTCGAGCTTTAGCGAGTGACGAAGGGCTAACACTCGAAACGTCAGCTTTGAAACTCTTTACGGTGTCCAGTTTACGCTATCAACTCAGTTGATAATACTTAAGTACCCTGTTATACTATCCCACCGACGCAACACCACAGTTTCTTTCGAAACTTACCCCCTTTTATCAACGACAAACTCCGACAACTGAGGCTGAAGTTTTCAACATACACAAACTGAGAGCCTAGCTTTTTATAAAATGTGTTTTGCCCCCTCCTGCTCCATAACTGTTGTCTTTTTACTGACTGTAAAATGTACAGACTGATATATATATGACCAAATTTCTGTAAGATATGAAGTTCAAATACCTTTCATAACGCCCAGGTGCTAATGGAGCAATGAACGGCACCATAAGTTCACCTTCTTCATCTAGTTTCAAGGACGGTACCTCAACTTTGTTTTCTTCTGTAGCAACTAGGATGTTACCCTCTAGACACTGAAGCTGTGAGGAGAACATGTTCAGCAGAATGTTAAAACAGTTTAGACTCAATATCTACACATGTAAGGTTGGGCACCGATAACCAAAAGAACGTTCCACAATATCAGAGTGAACAAGATGAGCCACGCACAGAGTAGGAGAGGCATCTGCAAGGCCATATGGATCAAATGGGAGTTTTCGTCGTTTTCTAAATATTACGGTTTGAGATAATCTGCCATCAACAAAATGAATTATTCAAAACAACAGTCTTACCACTGTCTTAGCATTCCACTTTCGACCTTTGTTCTTCACAATCCAACGTTTCAGAAACTAGCAAGTAAAGAGAAAACTGAAAACTTACTAAGAAATACTAGCCGTGCATCAAGTTCAAACTATACCCTTGAAGACAATCCAGAATATTTGTCTTGGAACCAACTGCCACGAAGATTCCAAACGAAAAAGGTAGCCTTCCGTTATGTTTTGAAGAGAATATTGCAAAATTTAATCGCAAAAACTGTAAATTTGAAAATTCGATTTGATGAAATGCCAAGAAACATTTTAGACCTAGTGTTTCACATTGATTAATGAAAAGGTTGCAATTAAACATTTTTTCAATGTTTTTCAGAATCCATGGTTTTTATCAAAACAGGGTTTATGCCATACTACAGCGCAGCTAAAAGAGAAGGGGACCAAAATGTGCGCGTCAAACCCGTGTAGAGCGCGTCTGAGACCAGACGCAGACTAGTCTCGACAGAAAAGCATACGCGTCTACTGTAGACGCGTCTGTCTCATTAGCATGAGGAACGGTCATTGTTTATGTGGATGGGCATTGTATTTATAGTAAAAACTGTTAGTTAAATTACACAGAAAATTCGTCGATCGTCTTGAATATCTTACGGCTGAGTTTGTTTAATCTGAGTTCGTTTAATCACTGCCTTAGTGCTGTTAACTTAATACAGTTTTTGCTCGCCGGTAAATTTCATCAAGGTTCGCTCACCAAATAACGCATCATACTGTAATTGACCTTTTGGGCTTTAGAGTTCACGTGTAGTGCCCCGTAACTTTTGATGTAAACAAACCCCGAAAGTTCGGACATTCTTCGAATCTGCTTCAACGGCAGCGAAATGACAACTTGCTTGACGCACGATCAAATAAATGATAAAAGAAAGATACCAATTTTGAGCGAAGAAACGTTTCTTGAAAGTGAGAAGTTATTTAAGAAAAATTTCCAAAGCCGAAGTTTGAACACATGTGCTGCGAACTCGACTCAATGTCCGAACTTTCGGTGTTTGTTTACATCAAAAGTCACTTGACACTTTACGTGAAATCTAAAGCCCAAAAGGTGAATTTAATACGGCTAGTGCACAAATTGAATAACAATCGTCTGTGTCTCACCTTATGTCCTGCCTTTATAACTGTACCGTCAGGTATGCTGGCATCGGCTATGAACTCTGCATTAAGGCAATTTCCCATCCTCTCATTAGAAGTGTCAGCATCACTCTCTCGTCTGTCGTCAAAAGAGTTAAGTTAATAGTTTTTGGTCAGATAAATGTTACAACGCTACATGTAGTTGACGGAAAATAATTGGTCAGAATTGCACAACTGTTGTTAGCTGTAAGACTCAATTTCATGACACCACAGTGGTCCTTGCAACTGGGTTTCCACATGTATGTTCATATTCTTCAAAAGTGTCCACAAAAATTCCAGTTATCAAAACAACTAAATTTAAAACCATACACAACTACTTCTGTCCTGTTATTCTAACAGGACAACCGAACTTTTCAGAGATGTTAAGTAATTCGAGTAAATTACAGGTATCATAACTACGAAACAAAACACAACTACATACAATCATAACATCCGCATGGGACAACAGAACTTTTCATAGGCGTTTACTTACAGTGTAGGTATTCAGAACCTATTTAATCATTTAACTCCCAAGATCTCATTAGTAATTCTCCTAAATATCTGCCATACAGTTCTTGTGATGTTAGTTTGGAAAATTTGGTATTGGATCAACTTATTATGCCCCAACTGATATTTTTCGTTATTCTCATCACTTGTCCGCTTGATATTGTATTAATATTGTAAGAAGAAATTCTGTCTTGGTCACGCATGGGAGTTAAGGGGTTAATCAATTAACTCCCATGAGTGACCAACACAGATTTCTCCTTACAATATTAATATAATATCAGGTGGACAAGTGGCAGAGAAAAAGAAAAATATAACCTAGGGGATTACCAGGTATTAGTTGAAACAATACCAAATTCTCCTAACTAACATCACAAGAACTGTATGGCAGACAGTTAGGGGAATTAATACTGAGATCTTAGCTTACATTTGCCTCCATTCCTTCTTTATCCTTCTTTTAACATCTCTCTTCTCCTTTTCTCTTTCCTTAATGATCAGTTTCTCCTTCTTCCTTTCCTTCTTTTCATCTTTTTCCTTCCTTCTCTCTTCTTTCTTCTCCTTTTTGTACCCTTCTTTAACTGTCATCTTGTACACAAAATGTTTCAACACTGGTACCATTTCTCCATTTTTTAGTCCTATCCCTGGCACATGGTTTCGCAGCTTTGCAAAGAAATGATTAGGATCGTGAATCCCTTCTTTTCCTTCACACACTTCACACAGGTCGTAATCTCTGCAGTAACTGCAGAAAAACAAATTAAAACAAAAAAGTGAAGCCGAGAATGTCTCCATCTAATAATGGAACTGGACCAAATAAGTCATTCATTCTTATCCTACTCAATATCCAATCTGTAGCCTCAATATACAATTTACAAGTACTGTAGTTCAATTTCTGCATCTGCTAGAGAATGTCTTCATCTTTAGAACCTTTTCTGTTTTAATGCTTGAACACTTCAAGAGTGAAGAGTCCAGTTTAACCCTTCAACTCCCCTGAGTGACCAAGAAAGAATTTCTCCTTACAATATCAATACAATATCAACCAGATAAGTGATGAGAATAAAGAAAAATATCAATTTGGGGATAATAAGTTGATCCAATACTAAATTTCCTGAACTAATATTATAAAAATTTGTATGGTTGACAGTAAGGAGAATTACAAATTTGATCTGGGAGTTAAAGGGTTAAAGAAATACATCTTCGAATGACATTGCCTTACTGTAACACTGGGAAACATAAATTTTAAGTTTAAAACAATTTCTGATTGAAAAGATTTGAAGGTGTTTGATTGGATTTTTCTTTGTTTACAAATTGTACTGATGCACCTGGAACAAAACTGGTTTGACCTTGAAATTCTGTAAAAACTACAACATTTATGTTTTCACTTGGGTCACATCTACCCTCCATCAACTTAAAAATTAAAATTGTCCTGTTCTCACCAGCACTTGTATCGGATTCCACAGACAGCTTGGCCACATGAAGCACAAACTATACCTTTATGAACAACTAATAAAACAACAACATTTTGGTTAGAATAATGAAAATAATGATTTAAAAAATAAATAAAAAGTGCCGATGAAGAATCACTGATTGTGTGACTTGTAGCATGGATGCCTGTCATCAAGGAACAGATCAACATAACAAAAGACAAATAAAAAAGGGGGTAAGTTTCTAAAGAAAATGGTGGTGCTGCATTGTTGAGAGAGTATAACAGGGTAATTTTGTTTTATCAACTGAGTTGATAGCGTAAATTGGCCACTGTTAAGAGTTAAGATGTCACATTTCTGTGTTTTTGGCATCAAACTTTGGATCCTCCACTACAGTTGAAGCTGCACCTATGAGGGTATACATTTTCAAAAACCCTCCACTACAGAGTTTCATGATGTGATATGTACCCAGTTAACCTCATTGTCTGAAAAAAGCTAGCAATGTATAATGGAAATATCTGTTCGAAATCCACATCAGACATTACTGCTTCTCCAAACAAACAACAACACTTTGCTGAAATTGAATATTTGTTTCTAAACCAAGAGTAACTGCAAGCTTTTTATGACTAAAATGACATGAGATTATAATAAATTCTCCTTGTCAGCACTTTCAGAAATGTATAGAGAACAGTATGGAGAATATGCATACTGATGTTAGGGTGTAAAGGGATAATTGCCATACCTTTACCCCAGGCCAACCTGTCACATGTTTGTGTGGGCGAGGAGCTTGGTGAGGGACTGCTGAGGTGAAGTTGCTGCAGATTTTTCATTGCTGCCTCCACTATTTGTGGCACTGACTGGATAGAGCAAATAGAAAGAACCTTTGTAGTCTTAGCTTACATATTTATAAGTAAGATTAATGACTGATTTATAATAATTTCGTATGGAGTTGTCATCCAATGTATGTTCTAAAACTGCTCTCTTCACTTACTTAAAAAGGTTGACTCTTTAACCCTTTCACTCCCAAGATCTCATTAGTAATTCTCCTTACTGTCTGCCATACAGTTCTTGTGATGTTAGTTCGGAGAATTTGGTATTGGATCAACTAATAATCCTCTAATTAAGATTTTTCTTTATTCTCATCACTTGTCTGCTTGATATTATATTGATATTGTAAGGAGAAATTCTGTTTTGGTCACTCATGGGAGTTAAAGGGTTAATTCCCAAGAGCTAAATAAAAACTATCTGCATTGATTATGATACATTTAAAGCAATTTCATCTCTGAGAATTTGATTTTATATCAAGAAATGTCTCCAACATTTTCAAAAAGCCCCAATTAAAGAAAAAAAATTGTGATCAGGTTCCTCTACAGGAAAAGATAAACCAGGCACTAAAACTTTCCTGGCTCCAAATGTGTGGTTTTACAGCTCAGTTGTTAGTAGCACCAACTAGTATCTAGGAGGCATGGTTTGAATCCTGTTGAAGCCTGGATAATTTAGGCTAAGTTAATTCAGTATTGTTATTAACTGAGTCTATACTGCAAATTGTCTACCGCAAAGAGTTTAAAAGCTGACAAAACCTCAACTTTTAAACTCTTTAGTAGTATCAACTCAATTGATAATACTAAATTACCTTGCTATACTCCCCCACTGACGCAGCACTATAGTATCTCTAGAAACTTACCCCCCTGAATTTTTTAGGCTTCTTTTCTGCAATCGATTCAATTCCAGCTCACATGCCAAGATCATTGCTTTACTGAATAATTTCTCCTATCTGATAATAGTATTTTTTCTCATCACTTTTCAGATTTCATTCCACATAGCAGTTTGTTCTATTTCATCTTTCTTTACCTCTTGCACCACTCGTTGAACGACTTCTGCCATTTTTTCTTGATCAACAGTGCCCTGATTAGATTTGTTGCTACTGGCTGATGGGTTCAAAACATCAGGATTGGCAATCACTTCAACTTCTCCTTCTCCTTCTGTTTTTGGTTGGCTTTCATTTGATTCATTGGGAGAAGACAACAACTTCTCATTCTCTACTTTCACAGCTCCAGTAGCAGCAGTCATATCACCTAAGATTAATAACCAAAAAAAGCTCAGAACAAGACCCACAAAAAACTCCATCTTGTTGTCTTTCCTGGATTTACTTGTATTGCTTGTCAGTGAGTTCTCTTCAGTACAGTTAGTAAAGCATCTGACTGCAAAATCCAAACTACCTGGGATTGGAAACACAGAAACTGAAAAACATAAATTTTTCTTTCTCCCACACTGAAAATCTTTCTTGAGGACAATTTTTGCAAGACCATGTTACTTGTTAGAATCTCAAAATTTGGCCAGTGTCAGCATCAGGTATAATTTAGATGAGATAAAAAGCAAAAAATCTTAATAGTTTCTAGAACATTCTTCTTTATTTCAAATATTACAAATAATTTTTTGATTTAGTCACCTTGCTGTGGAACAAACACATATGAATCTTCTCCAAAATCTCCAAGTCCCTCCATAGGAACATGTTCTTCACTCTTTAAAACATCTATAGAACTCCGCAATCGTTTGTGAAGCTTCTCATTCATGGTTGCCAACTCATCAGAAATATTCTCAGCCAACTGGAAATAGCAGCTCTTTGCCTTAGGTTTTCTTGGAGCTCTTCTGGGTTTCCCAAAAGATGAAGTTGAAGCTTGAGAAGGATTACTCGGAACTGGCTGCATTAGTTCAATTAAAGGGATATATTGGTCAGCTGTGGAATCGTCAGCTATCCTCTCGTGTGTTGGTGGCCCTGTGGATGAAGGATTCTGCAGTACACCTGCAGATTCCACAGTTTCACCTACAACTTTTGAATCACCTCTGCCATTCACTATTTCATTCCCCTCAGTTGGTAACGGTTCCTTTTCAGCTGTCTCAAATTGGGAGTCTTTTTCAGCTTCCTGAAAATTTGAGTTTGCTTTGATTACAGTTTCTTGGCATTCTGCATCATCCATTTTTGCCGTCTTGTAGGCACTGCTTAGCTCTGATGGAGTGGTAGTGTTGAAGATTAACTTACGTTTCTGGGCTTGAAGCTGAAACAAAGTAAAAAGGTTTACTGACTGTAATGGTTACCGCATTCACACACATGCAGCAAGGAACTTTCTTTTTAACCCACAAGTCCTTAATTTTTGGATAAGTGTAGTGTTTGTTATTTCAATCCCTAAGAATCTACTCTGGGCAGAAGGACTAAATTAAAGAAACTCTACTTTTTGGACTGTACTGTAACTTGTACACCTTATATTCACTAAGTTAGTGATATCTCATGATGGAGACATCAAACAACACTTACCACAGGTGTGTCTTCCTCACTTTCTACCAGTAAATCTTTAAGACTTTCAATTCCTGGCACAGATGTTTGTGGATCAGAGGAACTCTCCACTACTAGTCTAAATAAACCTGTTTTTTGAGTGACCTGAAATTAAAGCCAGAAAAACACAAGACACTCTATTTGAAATTCCCTGGACAACCACAGCAAAGGAAGAGAATTAATAACTCAGAGGAAATCACAAGCTGAAGCAGAATTGATGAGAAGATCTGAAGTAGAACCCCACTGACTTAAGGGAGCAAAAAACAGCCCAAGTTAGCAAGGGTGCAAGTTATCAGGATTAGTGTACATTAAATTTCAACTATCCTGTTTAGAATTAAGAAAGAATCATGTTTTTACCATTCTGCACAATCAACAGTCAATTTTGTACACACAGTTTATTTCATTTGTGCTTTTTTAGAAGAGTGTTAAAGATAAGTTTGGGAAGGTTAGCTAAATGTATTTTTCCTTGAAGTTTGAGTTACAGGGAGTTTGTAATTTTTCCTTAGCTGATAAGTTTGAGATAGTAAATGGGAAAAAATGGGGTCAAATCCAGAGTTAATCCTGTTTGTCTATCACTTGAATCAAGCTGATAAAGAAAAAAGGAATATCACCAACTAAAGATAGTAAATGAGTGGAAAAATGGGGTCAAATCCAGAGGAAATCACATTTTGTGCTATCACTCCTGAATCAAGCAGTAAGGTCAAAAGAAAAAAGCAAATGATCACCAACTAAAGATAGTAAATGAGTGAAAAAATGGCGTCAAATCCAGAGGAAATCACATTTTGTGCTATCACTCCTGAATCAAGCAGTAAGGTCAAAAGAAAAAAGGAAATGATCACCAACTAAAGAAGCTCTTGATTGTTAAACAAATTCTCCTTCTCAGCACCTTAGGAAATTTATAGAGAACAGTATGGAGAATATGCAAACTGATGTTCAGATGTAAAGGGTTAGAGTTGCAAAAGTAACAAAAACTTCACAGATGGGAGTCTCCCCTTTGCAAGTATGACTATCCGTGTTCCTCATTTTCTATTTATAAAAAGGTATTTCAGAGCTCACCTTTAGTGCTTCTTCAAGTTCCACTAAAACATCAATTAAAAATACATATCAATAAAACATTAAATTTAGTTTTTTTACAACAATAACTGATAAACAATGAAAATCGCAAGCTTTTTTCAATGTTTCAAAATTTTCCTTCCGAGCAAGATTTCTAACGGAAAACAAAGGAAACTGAACGATCTCTTTTTTCAGTAATTTAATTTGTTTGTATCTTCTAAACCTCGCTATCAAATGAATTTCTGAAAAATGAAAAGCAGCCTGAACCAGTACAGAAATATTAATTCTAGAATACATGACGGGTTCGAAACTTGCATGTAACTTGAATTTAAGCCAACTAAAAAGTGCAACGAAAATGAAACAGCTGAAAATTGACCCACAACTAAACAATTTGCTTGAAATTCTGACTATGCAATCGAACTTATGATGTTTAAAATGTACCATGACTAGCATCGATTTACTCTCCTTCACTAACTTACCATGTGTTCCAATTGTGACCTGAAAGTTACACAGAAAAGATATAAGAACCATTATCATCTATACTGACATGTAAAACCTTAGACCCAAATTGAAGACCATTACATAATGCTATTTCATCTAGTAACTTATATAAATAGTTCAAATCTTTGCAAAGAGTGCTTTGAATTAAATACGATAGTTTTTTTTCGTATACGTTAACCAGTGTTTACAGCAGAAGAAGCATGCACTATTGCAGGAACAAATATGTAATTACCAATTCGTTTTCGTCGTCAATATACTTCAACGTGAAATCTTGCACATCAAACAGTTCTTTGATCTAGAAAAGAAGGGATTATTGAAAAAGATTTACAATCTTTTAATTTAAACCAGCCAAGGAGAGACCAGGCTAAAAGAAATTCTTGCTTAAAAACACTTACTTGAAACGTTAATTCCTCCCAGGATGTGGGAGAACTGATCTCGAATCGCCGAGCAATGCCATTGAATCTGGCCTTTACTTTGACCCTGTCGGTCATTTGAATAACTCGAGGCGTTTCCAAGAAATAAATGAGCCTTCGAACGAAAATATTACGGGTAAAAACCCTTTCGCTTACTGTGCAATTCTAGAAATCAGCCTGTTCAGCAACTTCCTTCGACCAAAACAAAAGTGACGACATAGAATCTTCATGAACACATTATGTCACTCACTTACCAAATATGGTATATAACAGACCCGGATGAAAGTACGACCCCAGGCTTTTCTCGATGGAAGAGAGCACTTTGATCCGTACAAAGTTCAACTAAGATCTTATCAATTGAAAGGGCCGAATTTAAACTCCAAGAACCAGTAGGATTTATCAGATAAAATCCTTTTTTTTTCCTCCGTTATTCTGTTCAAGACTGTAGCAAGTATGAAAGACGAAAACTTCTGGTCAAATTAGCCGAAACGCGCAACAATTTTCAGATTTTCAACAGGTTTTCACAACTTTACAATTTTAGAGAGAGAGCACTGGAACACTTCCCTCGGTTAGCAAAGCAGATTGAAAAATGTTTTAATAGAGAAATTAGTTCTAGGGGGGGAAGAGGTGAATTAAGTGGGTAAAGGAGCGCTACTTCAATGCACAGGGGTAGCTTGGATGCGGGGGGGGGGGGAGGGTGGTAAAAATAGGGGAATAGGTGGCTCATTTCCCCACTGCCCCCCTCCAATTATTAAATATTTTCATACACTCTCGTACCTAGATCCTCCACGGTCGGTAGGGGATCCAGAAGGGATCCTACATTTCAGTTACAGTTAGAAGGTAGGATCTGGGTACGAGATTAGTTTTCATACTTAAATGCACTTTCAGCATAATCATTTCAACAAAATCATTTGCTTTTTAATGTCTTTAATAGTAAAAAAAAAAAAAAAAGATATCTTATCTGTGGAAATATTGCTCAGAGGAAAGGGGGGAGTGGTTGCTCGCTCAACTTTGGTGAACACCGATTACTTGGTGTGTCTGTTTGATTAACAAAACCTTTAATACTTTTCAAAATACTTAAACGGTAGCTAAGCAGAGTTATCATGATAAGTACAATTCATTTTGAAAAATTGCGGAGCTCGTATTGATAACGAAACTATGATAAAACAATATTTAAAAAACCAAATATCCACCACTATTCAAAGACACTGAGGTGAATAATTGATTAGTATATAACACACAGAAACTGAAAAAAAAAGTAATTTACTTCTGTCAATCAAGCATCAAAAAAATGGTCAAAAATAAAATTGTCGCCACGCGATTTTCTCTCTTCAGCTGTTCGGAGGTGAATAGCATTAGCTAATCACTTCTTTCTTTCTATTTTTTTTCAATATCTTTATTGGGACCAAAAATCGCTGCTGTTTACCCTCAACAAAAATAATAAGCCTCCTTAACACATTCAGTTAGTAACATCCCTATACCTGTATCATATTTTATCGCTTCACTCCAATCAGTGAGGAAAAATGTATTTCCTCATTAAATATCATGGCATTCTCAAGTAGAAGGGGTGCTGAGAAAATTGGCGCAAGGTGATATTACGCTTGTAACAAGTGTTTAGTCGACCTCGCAAGCTAACAGCATATCGAAGCGCCTGAATAGCGAATTGAATAAAAATTGACGCCTAAACCTTTTACACCATGACGTCAGTAACCACATTCTGCATACTCTTTATTATACATTTCCTTTGGTACTGACAAGGAGAATTCATCTAACAATTATAAGCTTCTCGAGGTGGAGATTATATCCGTGTTTCTCATGACTTTAGTATTTGATTTAGCAGAGATACTGAGCGGAGAAATTAGATGTTCATTACTCTTATGGGCTAAAGGGTTGGTAAAATTCTTTGAGCATAGTACAGTAGAACCCCGCTTACTTGAACAAGATCCGATTTCCCTCGGATTTCACCCCATTTTTCCTGTCATTTATTATCAGTTAATTCGAACTCCCTCTTGACCCTTTAACTCCCATGAGCGACCAAGACAGAATTTCTCTGTACAATATCAATACAATATCACGCACACAAGTGACGAGAATTAAGAAAAATATTAATTTGGGGATTATAAGATAGTCCAATACCAAATTTTCCGAACTAACATCACAAGAACTATATGGCAGACAGTAAGGAGAATTATTAATGAGATTTTGGGAGTTAAAGGGTTCACTTGATCTGATTTCACCTTCTTTTGACTCAGATCCACCTCCAAGAACTCAAAACATCAAAAGTGACAGAACACAGCTGACATGTCTCAATCTTTAATTACGATTGATACGAGTGTGATTACAGTCATGTAAACGAAATATATTTAGCTAAACTTCCCAAACTAAACGTTCTTATAAAGTTCTTGTCAAAATTACCCAATACACGAAAGTGTCTGTTGTTGTGCATGAATGGTAAAGTGATTGTTAATAACAAAAATTACAATTTTCTCGATTGTGATGGGTTTAAAAAAAACACCTAGTTTCGACTAATTCACTTGCCAAGTTGTCATCGGACAGTGCAGTAAGCCAATCACATTTAAAGTTGTACTTTGAATCAACCAATCACGGTCAAAGTTAAGGTTTAAATGAACCAATCTCAAACTTGGTTTCAATCACCGTAGATACAGCATGCAGACTCCTAAATTGATGCAAACTGTTTCTTTCTTTCATAACTTGGCTATTCTTCTTTTCTCGGAAATTGTTAATTTTGTCAGTGGTAAATTGGTAACAAGACTTCGTGTCGTCTAATTTGGTGAAAAACAAATCGGATTTCTGCTGCGCGGTCGTCCGATAGCAAACTTTAAAAAAGCTAGACCCTTTCAGTCCATTAATAGAACTCTAAGATAATTTTTCTGTCTTGTTTCCCTATGAAATCAGATCACTCGCCAGATTAAAATCAGGGAGTGTGAGTCAATCAGCACAGAATGTACATAAGCTCTATTCTACCTAGGTATTTTATTTATATTGAAATAAGGGTAGACAAAGGATATGTTTTGTAAAGCCCTTTCATCTTGGAAGGTTTGGTATAAGTAAAAGCAAGTAGATTGACTAACACTCGGGAAGAACACAACGTCACTCTATCTATCACTGCGCTCAGCGCCTGACGGGGCACTTTTATTCGTCACAGCACTACTTTTATCACGCACAACAGCTTCTTCGGCCGTAAAAGTTCTACCATTTTCGTGTTCAGGTGAAACACGAGCAGCAGCAGTAGCAGCAGCAGCACCTCCGTTGCTATTGAAAGAAAGCGGTCGACGTTGTTGTTGTTGATGTTGCGCTTCCAGCTGCTCGTTTAGTTGCTGGAAAGATTGTGCCATGTTTTCCGCCATTTGAGACAACGTAGATTTTTTCGTTTCTTCGGCTTTGTTTTTGTTTTGCTTCCCACGATTCTCTTTGCCGATGGGATCTTTGCCTTTGCTGCCTCCTAAAAAAAATGGTGAAAATCATTTGTATTTAACAAAATGCCATTTACTCAGAAAGAGTTTTAATTACAGGTCGATTGTAGAAACTCAGGTTAGTAAAGAATTAAGAGTTGGTCGAAATTCCCCACTCGTGGACTTGCTCTCACATAAAGCATACAAAAAAACAAACATGTTCTATCATACTTCTCCCATATCAAACCACTTCTGCAAAATTTTCCTCAAATGACTTTAAGAGCTTGAAAAAAGAACTTATTTCATGGGTATAGCTAATAAATATCAGGTATGTGCATCTACCAAACTATTTCCCCTCTCTAACACGTCCTTTATTTTTTGATTTCTGCAGAAATATAAATTCTTTTAAAAATCAACTTATTCTTTAACACGTCCTCATCTTTTCACTTTATTATTTCAACAGAAATATCAATTATTTTAAAATCATTAACTGCCAGTAGAAACCGCCAGAGAAGCAAGTGGAAGGCAAACTGAAGGAAAAAGCACGTTATGTGATACAAAGCAAAAATTGGAAAAATATTCAAATCATAACGCGCAATGGAACTCAAGCAATACCACCAGTGAGGAACAAATTAAGCTCGTAGAGAGAAAGAAGACTTTTAATTAATATCTAGATTCTAGCGTTGAAGGTGCCTACACAAGTTATAATTATCAGACTACCCTAATTCCCGTAGACATTACCTTGTCTTCTTGAGGAGGTCGTTCCGTTTGCCACAAGGCTTGATGCACCTCGACCATCAGTGGTGTCTCTACCCTGAGCTCCCGAGTATGGCATAGACGAATAACCACGCGACTGGTCACGTGATTGAAGTCTTGTACCTGAAAAAGACATATGATCACGAGGACGCGCACCAGTCAGATGAAGATCCAGTCCGTTGGCTTCATGATGAGAACCAGGTTGTAGCTTAGACGGTTCATTCCCAGTGCGCATGCCTGGGGCAGTTGTTTCTGCTGCTGCTGCTGCTTGTGGCTCTTTACCGTGTCCATTCACCATCTCTGCATTCATTGCTGCGAACTGAGGGGCTATGATACCCGCAAGCTCTACATAGTGACCTTTGTTTTTAGGGCCCTTACGAGATTTCTTGCCTCCACGCTTCTTAGAGGCTCCATCTGCATAGTTTACTTGGTTTGTGCTTCGTCCACGAGCCGGAGGAAGCGTTCTTGGAGGTACAGGGGGGTTGTAGTACAAGTTATGAGTCGCGTAGCCTCTCTGTTCCTCCTCGTTTTCCTGCATCATCTGTATCACCAGTGCTTGAAGCTCTGGTGCCATATTGTCAATCGTGCGTTGCTGCTCTTCGAGTTGAGCCCGTCGTTCCGCCTCAGAATCGTATCTCTCCCGAAAAGTTGCGCCAGTTCCTCTAGCAGAGACGTCCTTCCTCGAAGTAGAAACATCCATCCTTCCCAGGTTCTTGTTCGTTGTCATGCTCGTCTGTTGGCTAGAACTGAGACTTTCTCCCTCCGACGGATTAGAAAGTAATGAAGTGTCGTTTGACATCTCAGTTTGCAAACTACTATCATCAAACAGTATCCGTTGTTCTCTCATACTATGACTATCCGATACCATACTTCTGCCAGTGGATGACTCATTTTCTACGATGCTTCCGTCAAAAAGCTCTTGGCTTTTTCGCTCCCTATTTCTATCATTAGCCTCTCTGCGAGCTTCGGTGGGTACATCTGCCAAAAGCCGTTCTCTGGACGTTGCTTTTCGTCCTGTGCTGTTGTTCAATATCTCTTTCCCTTTTACACTTCCTTCCTTGTAACTTGTTTCACGTGCTGTTGCTTGTGATCCTTCTAATTGCTTGTTCATGGCTAATACGTCACCAGCTAAGTCCTTGGCGAGCTCAGTATAAGCGTTCTTTGTGTTCTGTTTCGGCCTTTTAGATTTCTTTCCATGGGGTGCCTTAATAGTGGTTTTAGGTCTAGCGCCTTGCGAATTGCCAACAGGAGCCGAATATTGCGAGCGATAATCTCCAAAATCAGAGAAATCGTTGGAATTACTTCTGACACCACCATCGTCATTCTTCGGTGACTTCTGAGGATCTCTCCATGCCTCTTGCCAGTTATTTGACTGGAAACTTGAAGCAGCACTTTCCGATATAGAGAAGTCATTTCGATCGGATTCAACGCTGGCGTTGTCTGCAAGATTCATGTTCTCGAACTCTGAGCTCAAACAGGGATCGCATTTTGTATCAACATTTCTTGACATAGGTTGTACTTCGGTAGGTCGAGAGATAATTCCTTCACTTTCTACAGAAATGGCTTCGCCTTGTTCGGAATTCGCTGCAGATACTTTTGGTATTGATTCTTGCATCGACTCCGAGGTTGGCGGAAGTGAAAGTTCCTCTGTTACCTCTGGGTTAGGTTTCGTTCGTTTGGAGTAAGGCTCTCCATCTGTCTTAGAGTGGCATTCTCCATAAGTTGCATCAAAATAAGTGGTAGACTTTGAAAGGTGATCCTCCATCCCACAACTTCCTTCGTGAAAACTTTGCGAATCTTCCGTCTCAGTGTTAGAGTATTCAAACCTTTCATTGTCTGAGCGTAAAAGCCCTGAACCACAAGAAGCACTTTCGTCATACCCTGAAAGAGACTCTTGTTGGGCAACCGATTTAGTGCCTTCACCTCGATAATTCAACGAGTCTCCGTCTCTGAAAGCTCCACAGCTTTCATGACCCGACCCACAAGTTGCGTCTGGGTTATAGTCCGAAAGTGACTCCTGTTGCACGAATGATCCAGTTCCTTCCTTCTTAAGGTCGTATTCAGTTTCAGACCTCTCTTCATTGTGCATCTCTGATTCGAAGTTTAAATGTACACAGCTCTCCGAGGCTGAGCCACAAGTTACGTCTGGGTTATATTCCGAGATGGACTCCTGTTGCACAACTGACCCAGAGTTTTCTTGTCTGTAACTGCATGTAGTTTCCATCTCTAGCCTGTATGTCTCTGACTGGAAGCTTCTATGCTCGTCGAAGCCTGGCCCACAAGTGGCGTCTGGGTTGTATTCTGAAAGAGACTCCTGATGAGGCATAGAGTCGGTTGCCTCACGCTGAAGCAGCGAATCGCGGTCATCATTGCTGCCTGGAGTGCGAAGCTGCTTAAAAGAACCGGAGACATCAGCAGCGAGGTCAAAGTAAGAATTTCGCGCCCCTTTTTTAGAATTATTTTCCTTCTGTTTCCTTTTAGATTTACCAGGACGAGTTTTCACATCATTTTTGAGGGGTTCAACGCCACCTTCAGCACCATCAAGAGCGTCGTTGTCGCCACCGGCAACTTGAAGATCAGCTGAAGGTTGAGCCATTTCTGCCGCTAGTTCCTCACAATGATTTCTCCTCCGTCTGTTGTCATTCCCCGATGGCGTCTCTCGAGCATTTTCAGTTTCGTTTTCATTTTGCATCACACAGTTATCTGCAGCTTCGTTGCCCTCTCCGGGAAGCTGCTGGGTTGCTAAATATGGAGCCATGTCAGCTGCAAGCTGTTGATAAGGAACTCCACCTTGCCTTTCATTTTTCCTTTGGGATTGATCAGAATCGCGTCTCTTTTCCTCCATGTGTTAAAATGCTTTGCTCGGCAATATTTTCCTACGTTGCGCGACAAACAAGTATTAGCTTATATTAAAGTTCACACGGCAACCAGGTGGACAATCAGACATAGTTTGATGCTACTCTGTCTAAGTATTAGCTTGCCATTATAAAAACAGTTCATCAAAAAATGAAATCTTTTCATAACAAAAATATATCTGACGATGGTTCTATCAATAGAATTATATAATCTGCGAGTTCCTGCTGCTAATAATTTCCTTTTCGAGTCCTTGTAAATCAACAGAAATCGGGGCCAGTCCTAAACCTCTTTTACATAATTGCAAGCAAAGCGTCTCTTGTCAATTTTTTGTTGACAGAAGTGTTAACTTAAGTTTCTTGCTCACAAAGAAAGCTTTAACTATTTCGGTTTCGACCCAGGCTGTTTCGATAACCTAGATATTTATCAGCATCTATCTATACCATGATCCACAAGGTCTACATTAACGAGGCCGGTCGCTTTTGCGGAAGTTAGACCATTGCACAGATGGCTAACCAGAGAGGTTGGCTGCTTTCTCCGTAATCGCAACGATCAAATAACAAAACAATTTACGAACAAAAACCACAACAATGACGATTATTGAAAAGAATTCTCTTTAAAAGAAACACATAAACAGCCAGTGTCGAGAGCTTGGGTTCATTAGTATGATTTAAAGTGAAACTGAAAGCGAAACAAAGGAAGCAACTCTTAAAAGATCGACCAGAAGTTCCAACTTAAGAAAGATCACAGAACTTCGACAAATGGAGATTAAAGACGTTTGCCTCGTACGCCAGAATCTTGTGTATTACAACTTAAGTTTTTATATCGGTACCTTTCTCGTCGATAATGAACCGCTTATAGTCTGCCAAGTTATCTGTTACCTAGTGCCCTTCGTGATTGGGTTTGATCTAAACAGACCGAGACTGCTCACTCGCAACCGTCAACTCATACTGACGTGTCAGTATGACTTCGCATTCTTGAATTTTTGGTCGGTTTGATCAAGTTTATGTATGATAAGAATTATGCAACGTAGGAGTTAAGTTTTGACTTATCAGCAATCGTAATATTACTCGCACGACCCACATCCATGCACTTTCTGATCGTTCGTCAAAAATTTATTTTGGTTAATTTCACCGCGTTTGGTTCATCGACCGTGCAGAAAAATTTTCGGTTTCAAACTGGTTAACTATTGTGAGGCTTATCTTTTGTAATTCATCTTTTATGTCGAAAGAAAACACACAACTTCCACGGGGAATAACCTAATGAACAAAAACAGCTCTGTAACGGAAACATATGCACTCCGTCACACTCGAATGAATTTACTAGAGCTAAACGTTCGCTTAATTCATCCTTCTTCGCGAGTTATACAATTTAAAAAATATCAGTACTTACTTCCTAAAGCGACCCCTACGCTTTTACGGCTGAATTAAGATGAGTCAGCGAAGAATTTTGCGATTTTTTGCTTGTTCGTCATCGGTATTTACGGAGTTGCTTCGGTAAGCATTTGTACAACAATATGGTGACGCTACACAGGCGTCTGTCGAGGCTTGTTGTACAGCGGTTAAATTTGAATTCGTCATGTAAGCTGCAGCGCTTGTTCCCTACGAACAGGTACAAGATCGCACTGAACAAAGGAGCCATGAAGTACAGCGGCAGTTTCTTGATTTTGTTTGCACATTTTGTGGTTGTCGTGAAAAAACTAATTAAAACTAATTTCCACGGGAGTTTTGCTGGTAAGCTGGATGCGAATCCATTTTTTTTCACGGGAACATAAAAAAACATGACACCGTTACTATTTTCCTCTAGTATATCAAAGGGGAAGAAAAAACATTACTAAATGCATGATCGCGTAGTTCATAGCGATTCCCGAAATCCTAGATTCATTAAAACAAGCGATCAATCTATACTTCTCTGTTTTTGTATACTCGCATATAGCTTACAGATAAAGACATAGGAAAAACTAATAAAAATGTTTTCAGTATGTTTGAGCTATTTCCAGGGTTACCAATAAGCCCAACAGTAACGTTTGAATTTTAGACGGTAACGTCGTCTCTTGAAAAGTAAATTTTAAAAAACGATTCTCCTCGCAGCGTTAAGTCAGTTGTGAGAAGTTCAATGTTTTTTTTACCAACGTAATACGACAAAACTTGTAAACACTGAAACGTTAAAAATAAACATAAGAAACTACCTATCATCTTTCAAAAACTTATCGTGACTTAACTCCTTTGAGTGCAAGGCCTTAAAAACTCGTCTCTTTTCCCATTGACATAACCCAAGAAGTACTGGTTTTCAACAGAACAATTTTCAAGGTTTTCCTCACGGAAGTCAATCTCCCATTTATTTAAAGACGATTGAATAGTCGACGCCATCATTACGCATTCTAGTGTCTTAATCAAAAATTTTCTTCCGTTTTTGAATGCCTTCCTTTCGCGGGCTTTCCCCACTGACCAAAATAACCTTGTACTCTTACCCTCGACGAACGCCTTCGATATAGCGTCAGACTCAGTCAGTCAGTTAAGTTCTTTATCACATGTATCTAGTTTGAGGCTGAGAAAAGGCTGCAGCTCGAGTCATGGTTCAAAGAACCGACAAACTAAACGTAGATGCAAAGAAATTCTTTCGTTTCTCTATTTAATTGTTTCTTCGTTCATGCAATTTTTTTTTTCAATACTAAGGGTCATAATATGGAATAGTATCAACCAACTACGAAAAGTACCAAAGTATGTAATAAAAAATAAAAGAAACAAAATCAATTAGTTTAATGAACCCCATGTATCATTTTCAAATTTACTGAAAAAACCAAAATTAACAACACCATCGCAACTAACACTTACTTACAACACAGAACTATTGCATCACTCACAACTTCATTTCTAATGTACCTATTAAACAATACCGACACTTAGTAGGATAGACCACCTAAAATTAAAAAAAGCTGTCAGCCCACTTTCATTGCTTTTAAGCATGCCAACTTTAATTGTCTTTTTAAAACAGAGGACACAAAAGGAATGATAGTGAGGCCATCCTTCTGGAGAGGAATAATTTTAAAAGGTGCCACTTTCCGAATGAGTAGCATACGATAATTGATTTTATCACATAAACTGCGGTATTATACAAGGATTTCCGGCCCTGAGAAAAGCCGTAACAACACACGTGAAAAAATATGGTATTTTTTCACGTGTGTTGATATAGTCAATCAGCCGCTGACACGTCACTCGCCTTTAGCACCACTCGGTCAGGTTGATGAATAAACGGAAAAGCGTTCACGATTCTTGATACAAGTTGTTTGTCGGAGCTTTCTCGGATTATGGCGGCTATAACACTAACAAATTCTTTCACTCGTGAGCTATCGAGTTAAACACTTGAAGAGAAATTCCATATCTACGCGCGCCCACGTATTATTCTCTATGAATTGGGGATAGTGTTAAAAATTGACTTTCCTGTCAAGGTAAGATTTTTCTTGAGTTGGAGTCCAAAAACTCATACCTTGACAGGGGGATCAATTGTATCACAGCCATGCTACAGGCCTGAAAAACTGAGCATTTGTTTCTCTAAAGAAGCATGTAGCCTGTCCTGAGTTTTATCTGTCTCTGATATTTTTTTATGATACACATGTAGTCTATCTGTGAAAGTTAATATCTTTTTTTTTTTTTTTAAATTACAGATATTACGCATGCTGTTTTAGAGCAATAATTTTTCCTAGGCAAATCAATGTTGCAGCAGTCTTCCACCAACATGAACAGTGCCAATTATCCTTCAGTATCACATGCGCCACAAATTATTTTGAACAGAAAAAGAAATGTACCTCATTACAAGACTTTTTCTCTAAAATGTTAGCCATGTTGTTAATTTGATGAAAGCCCTTTGCAACTATAGTTATTTTTTAATTTGATTTGTGCCTTTTTTTCCTGGTCTTCCCAACTTCTTGCTCCAGTACATAGTATTCAGTAGTTTTTATTACAATTCCAACTAAATTATTAAAATTTATTATATTTCTTTTTTTCTTCTATTCCACTGCCCTGATGCTTCATTGGGTTTATTGCCTCGTGTCATTTCCAAAACGTCTCGTCCTTCATGCACTTTCACTTCCTTTGTTGGACATGTCCCCATTTGTAACAGACAACTCTCGACGTTGGTTTTGTGCGAAGTGCACCTTTGTCATGGAGAACGGACAATTATTTCATGGCTCAGCCCCAGATCCATCATGACTGGTCTAATTATTGTTGAATTCTTCTCAATTTCGAAGCTAAAAAATGTAAGAATTATTTCCAGGTCGATCCTTTTATCCGTAATGCGTCAATAAAGTTGACGCTTCAATATTTTCTACCCAGGCAACCCCCCGTGAAAATTGAACTTTTAAAGATTGGTTCCCGCCTCCAACGGCAAAAGGTAGTGAGAGGAAAGACATGATGTACTCGTTTTTGGTGCCACCGTTGGGTTTTTCGCTAACAAGCATCGTTCTGAGACGTTAAAATTTATCATACCAGAAGCGTTCAGCAACTCAATGCAATGCTTCCAAATGAATTATGTTCAACACTGCTTGAGAGAAGTTGTCATACATTTTACAGCGTTTGTTCACTCACTATTCAATAACAGGTCATGCTATAGGAAACCGGCCAGATCAGCGAACGTGTCTTTCTTCTCATTGGCCAGCAATTGCTCTGGCTATTCATGCTTCAGCCTAAAAATCCTACAATTAACTTAAATAGACACCCTTTTTTTTTAACATACCTTCAAAAATCTTGCTCAGCTTTTTGAGGACCTTTTCTCTGGAGCCATCCGCTCAGAAAATCGAACCCTTAACCTTCAAACCTTCATTTCTAAACTAAAACACGTGTATTCCACTGAAAAGACTTGAAACCTCTAACACCAATTCCCCACCCCACCCAGGCAAGGTTCAAAATTTCCAACCCTGGAGAGCCTTTTGTCAATTCACTTCTCCCCGCGTACAGACTACAGTCAAATGCCCGTATGTTGCCCTGAAGGGTAATGTTGAAAAGGCTCGAATTAATCGGTGCATAAAATTACAATTACTAAACGCTCCCTTGATCGATATATCAAAAACTTAATCCTATCATCAAAGAGCAAAAAATTAGGTCTTGATAAAATAGATCTTGAGATCTTTCCATTCTGTTTTCCAGGAAATTTCTGAAAAAGGAAAGTAAGTGATGTTGTTTTGGGTCTCACTCGTAGAAATGAATATCACGTGTTTTTCCGGCAGCCATTTTGTAGTCTGTTTGTTACATAAGCAGACTCGATGATGATCATATCTTCGGTTCTTTATACGCACGTGAACTTACCTTAAAAATTAAAAAATTTTTTACCGACATCAAAATGAACTTTTATAGCCTTGAACTTAAACGCACGGGCCTGCGGTTTTTTTGGACTAAAAACAAACCTCGTGGTATTAAAGCTTACGCAGTAGTGGAAATTGTTCCCTCACTTTTTTTTTATGCACGCTTAACGAACGGAAAAACTTTCAAGATGAGTGAAACGAGAAGATATATACTGGAAGAGAGAGATTTGACGCCATATGTCTTGACCCAGCTTCTTCTCGTTCTGATCCTTTGCCCTCCAAATTCATAAGGCCCTTTGAGAAAAAAAAACTGAAATTACGTGATAGCTGATCGTAACCACGTTGTCCCCAAGTGAGTTAGTATTACGCAATGTCGAATTACTGTCGCAAAGTTCCTATGTTTTTTTAAAATTTGTTCCTCTATACTGATCCTTGCTAGGAGCCCCTGATGAATAATGTGCTCCTGTCATTCCCTAGATCGATTCAGTGAAGAGATCCGATACCAAGAGACGATTTGTTAATGACTAAGGAGGCTCTTAAGTGAGGAAAAATCATTGGAGCAAGCCAAAGGGGTTTATCGTAACCATATCTCGGAAACGAGTTAAACTAGTTATCCATCGCTGAATTTATTATAATTAGTGTTTTAACTATTGATTTGGTTATTTGTTTTCAAGTTCGAAAACATCTGATCAAAAATAAACTCAATGCACCAGATTAATAAGACTAAAATGTTTTATTTCACGAATTACACCACAAGTCGTTTATATTTGGCAAAAGTAACCAGTTTAAACATTCACCATATTACTGATAACATCGAACTTAGTGTCGTCGGAACAGAATTTATATTACATGGCATACGGTGAACAAGACTAAAATGTTACAATGCAGTTTTTAACGCCGACACTGTCGTACTGTCGTAACTATCACAGCAAACTGACTAATAGAATGTATAAAACTTGAGTAGGAAATTTTTTCTCCATCGTTTCAAATGCCTGTTATTTTTAATTTCTACCCAGAATCTTCCAGGAAATGCTTCATTACAGGAAAAGTATAAAGCGGCTTGAACACATCTTCCCAAAGTTTCAGGGAAATTTCGGGGTCGATGGTTTGCCAATCCACCTCGGAGTCGAACTTCTCGAACCCCGGTGGACTTTCCATCTGCAATTTCTTCAGTCTTCTTTCAGCCGCCATTGTGGTCGTCTTCGCCGGTTCTTCACCTTCAGAGTTTTTGTTGTTTTCAAAATGAAGATGTTCGAGATCGATATCACGTTTCTCTTCCTTGTCTCTGAAACTATGACGTTTGTTTAAGCTCCATCGTCCGGGGTTTGTGATAAATTTTTTCAGCGAAGTGCCTAAAATCTTTTTTCTTTCTTCTTTTTCTTTCACTTGCTTTGCGAAACATTTGCCCATTTTGACCAACACTTCTCGATGTCCTTGATAGGAAGCGTTCCTTTTTTCCACCTAGACAAATTCGGAAAGTCACAATTAAGGCAAGTCTCTTGGGAAGATTTAAATCAATGGTTTAAAAAGATATTTCTTACCGTCACGATGTCTTCAAAATGCTGGAAGTCTGTTTTTCCTCTTCGGTTTTTCTCTCGATATGAACCGAGAGTTGTTGCGAAAAACAAACTAGTTGGTATGGTAACCAACCAAATCACTCGATCCAGTTCTCCAGAATTCAGCTTGTCTTTATGGTACGACGAACAGTTAAAGGTGTTCAGAATGGTTGAATAACCTTAAATCATTAGAGATAAATTGATAAAAACACCCTTTTTGGGTCACGGTGCCTAAGGCAATGTAGACTCCATGTTATCGTCCCCTTTGATTCCACCAATGCACATTCCCATCATTCGACCTCGTCTCGGTGCATGACAACGCAAAAAAAAAAAAAAAAAAAAAAAAAAAAGTGATAATTTACTTGAGAGGCCAGGCTCGTAAACCCTTTAACTCCCATGACTGACCGAGGCAAAATTTCTCCTTATAATATTCGATACAATATCAAGTGTGCAAGTGATTAATAATGGTAATTGAACTGAGTGGAGTGCAATTTGGGCTGAAATCATACGTGTGATTTCAAAATCGAATGAGTGCACAGCGCGAGTTCGATTTAAAATCACAAGTATGATTTCAGACCAAAATTGCACGGCACAAGGTTCAATTACCACTTTATTACATCCATTTTGAAATCGCCCAAATACAGGACTTACTCAGTTCAAATATTTTATTGATGCAGTACTGAGCTAGTTTGAAATTAAATTCATCCATTTTTTAGGGGGAAAAAACAGGAGTTTTGGAAACAAAGGTTGTAAAATTTGCCACATGTTACTCTTTGTCTTTCATTTTCCTGCAATTACATTGGTTACTTTAAACAAGCCTTGAAATCTGATTGGTTGTTTTGTTTTCAGTGTAGCCTCCTCATTGGCTGGAAAAATGATGCGATTTAAAACAAAAATGGTGCGATTCGTGAATAAATCGCACCAATAAGAGCCAATCAGATTACAGGGACCACCAATGATTTCAAAATGGGTGTAATTAGAATAAAAAAAAAATATCTGTCAAGGGATATTTGTTGATCCAATACCAGATTCTCTGACCCAACATCACAAGAACTTTATGATAGACAGTAAGGAGAATTGCTAATAAAATCTTTGGAATGAAAGGGTTAAAGGAGGAATGTTGAAGGGAAGACGGAGTGAATGAGACAAAAGAAATACTCAATTCCTAGACTCCTCTCCCTCTCTTTTTACTCCTTTAGCGACGATTGATCTCCCATCCATATCCCCCTGAAAACCAGGTGATCCCTGCAAAATCCTCGGAACCCCCCCCTCCTTCTCCTTAGGCGATGGCAAGCAGCGATAGATAAATGTCAATCCCTCAGAAGATTTTGTTTGTAAGACAATGTTCGTTCCTCTTCATTGGTTTATTGGTTTTCCTGAAAGAGTGTTTCGTAGAGTTTCATTAAAACCATTCCATGAAAGATCTTTCTCCTTGCATTCTCGTCTTTTCTTTCTTGTGTTTTGCTCTAAAAGAGAGTTATTGAAATCAGAGGGTTTCCGTGCTATCTCGTTTGATGTAATATGTTTCTTAATTTTGTTGATGTTTCCTAATTGTTTCTGCCGGCGTGTATCTCAACGGGGTTCCGTGGTAAATATAAGCGAAAGATGTTATGCTCCACTGTAGTTGTTGTTGTGTGAAAAAATAAAAAGTTACTTTAAATCCGTGTCCGCGTGAATGTGACGATTTTGAGAAAAAAAAATGATTAAGAATGCTTTCATATTTTTACTTGCGTTTCTGAAGGTTCCTTCGCAAAAATGGACGGTTTATTCAAGTCATCCAAATTATTCATGCGCAGCACTAACTAAATATGTCAAACCAGTAAACCATGTGATCTGCTTCTGAATTAAGTTACACCCGGTGCAAGTAATAATATTTAGCCGTTCCGTTGAGGGAATAACTTGGCGTCGGAAACCTAAAGGTAAAGCATATTTACAGTATAAATTTTTTTGATTTGAAATTGTCACTTGAAGTCTAGCGGGAACAAACACATTCGAAATAATTTTGTCTATGTAAGACTTTTTTGTCAAAGTGACGTTTCAAACCTTGAATTCAAAACTCTTTGTGAGCTGTAAACTTTAAGTTGCTAGCCAAAGGTTTTTGTCTGAAAAAAATTTAAGGGACCTACCTGTATTGCAACTACCCGCTAAAATTTTTAATCGTCGCATTACGTGGTCTGTATTAGTTTGTTTCGCACAGACCTCATTGAATCCTACGCTTCAAAAGTCAGGTGAGATCAAGAGAAGACCAGCTCCATTTTCGTTGGTTCTTTTGACGAAGAAACTCAACAATTCTCGATCGCTCAAATTCAACGCGAATGATAAAATGAAGGTTAACGTTTTTGTTATGATAAATATCTCACGATAGCGATATAAGGGGGACACTGGTAAGTTCGCGCGTTGTGTTTAGTCCTCTAAAAACGGACCTGTACTCAGACTATTTGCAAACTTTACCTCTACGTAGTCTTTGTTGTTGTCTTTTTAATTTCATTACGTATTGAAGACAACGCACTTAAGCTCAAGAGGCCACATATTTTAAATTCGCTTTTAAAATTATGACCTTAACTGCGTTTTGAGAGTCCAAAGAGCAAACGAACCTTTAGAAAATTTGTCTTCAAATTTACAAACACTTTGTCTGTGGACGCCGCCATTTTTGAATCTTGCTCAGTAACCATGCCGCCTACCTGTGACATTGAAAGATCCTGCTTCTCTTCTTTTTCCTTTTGGCGCCCGCGATTGGTTTAAAAATTAGCCAGAGGAGGGATCGAGGAACAGCTGTTTGTGAGCCGCGCGTTGTGGTTTCGCGCCATTTGAGCAAGTATGCAATGGCCGAGTTGTTTTCGGCCAAAATTGAATGTTCAGCAATATTAGAGACAATTTTCGGGGGGCTTGGAATCTCCTTGAAATCTCAAATTGCGGTAAGTGGTTAATTTCATTTCTCCTTTTCGATGGCAGAGATAACAATTCAGATGTTTGTGCCTCTGAAACGCGGAAAAACGAGGTTAATGAAGCAGGTTGACCATATTTAGCTCTTTCTTCTCTAATTTAAAACAAGGTCACCTTCAAATATGCTGCTTGATCAGTTAAAAACAATGAATGATGTTGTAAAATTTTGTCCGATATATACTACTCCCTTAAAGAGAGAAGAAAGGTCTCATTTCCTTTAGAAAAGCAACAGTTACTCTTCTACATACAAACACTCCTTGTAATGTACTCTCGCTTGTTTCATTGTTTATTTTTCTGTGAGGGGAACTAATGTATATCGAATCTATAGGAGGAATGTCATTATCCGGAGAAAAAGAAAGAAATGGGGGTTCATCAGGGGCTTGTAATACCATAAAAATTTCTTAGCCAGAGTTTCATATCTATGTTCAAGATGTGGACAGCATATTTCCAAGTCATTTTGGCCTCAGTGTCGTCTTCAACATGGGAGTGAGCTTTCCCTGTTGGTTTAGAATAAACATCACGAAATAAATGGCAGGTCAGAAGAAGTAAAAAATAGCCAGCAACGATTAAATTTTTCAATTAACTTTCGACGGAATAAATGAATTCTATACAGCTGTTTCGGAGAGGGTGTTCGTTGCTACCATGGAGATGGACGCTGCCGATTAGAAATAAAACATTTTTATTCTAGAGTTTTGCGGCTTTCCGAACTGCCAAGATGTAGGGTAAGGCCGAGGACTACGATATGTTACTATGTTGGAAGAGTCCGTTGAAGTGAAACAAATTGGCATAACTTACTTTACGTACATATTGTACTCGTCAGAGATGATTAGGAATCTCTCGCTTTCAAGTTTATATGGACTCTGAATGGGCCATTTGTTGATAAGTTTAAATTGTCCGTGGCAACTTATTTTACTTCCAAATTTTGTCGTTTTTAGCCCAAGAAAGACAATGTAGGTATAACGCAGAAAGCTAATGTTCAAACTAAAATATTCCTTCTGTCGACAGAATTTCTTTTTCATCTTTGTAAAACATGTGACTAGATCTGAATTGCGCGTGTTCAGTTCAACCTTTGTTTAAATGCAAGTTACGCTTAAAGAAAGAGCTCTTTTGTGGTGTCACCCGCCTTGCATAAGTGATATTTGAATAGTTTTTGGACGTAAGTTATAACACGTTTACCATGATGTCTGTGATAACAAAACAGCCGAAGTAAGACATTTCAACTTTCGTTAATCAAAGCTATACACTTTAAGAAGCTTTGGTCAGCATAAAGAACTTTATCCCCAGCCACGCTGATTGAGGGTCTGCTGTCATCCAAATAATTCATCAGCTTCTATTTGCTTTTTATGTTTTTTGAAACACCGAACCCCTGCGTTGTAACATTAAAGCTTTAGTTTGCAATAAGTTAAGTTGCATTCTCAACCTTGCCGCTTTCAATTCGTTTAGGTGTTTATAACTTTCCAGTCTGTTTATCGAAGTAACCGCTAATAAATGAATGTTTATGGAAAATTCAATTAGAGCGGGAAAAAACAGAATTTTAAGGTGATACCTAGGGTGGTTTGTGCTGTTTAAAATCAGCGGTTCGAACTCTTAATTCTGTGGCTGGATCCTATCTAGTGCACAATTTTGAAAAGATTCTGTTCGTTGTACTTGAGTTGTGGTGAAAATAAGGCCTGAAAAAAATTCAGGCCTGCACGGGATTTGAACCCATGACCTTTGCGATACCGGTGAAGTACTCTACCAAGTGAGCTAACAAGCCAAATGGGAGTAAGTCATTATGATGGTTCCAAATAAACCCGCAAAGTGATGAAAAACCAACTGTGGATATATGAAAATCACATATGTGACCTGCGGATAAAGAAGTTAATATGAGATCGCTTTCATTTCCATTTCTTTTACCGCAGTTCACATATATGATTTCGTGTAAGTCTCTCCAAACCTTAGTGAATGACCATTCAAGTGAAAATCACTGAACATTACAGTGACGTGGTGCTGTTTATCATGCTGTAAAAGATGCCAATGCTTCCTACTCTGTGGATGAAACCTTAGAGTGCGACTATTTAGATGAAAGCTACTGAGCATCACTACTTTGACGTGGCAATGATTATCATGCTGTTTAAAGTAGTTGTAGCCATTCAGTGTTGGAATAACTGCAAAAGTCTTTCATGTAGGTATGTTTACATATTAAGTCTGTAGATGAAGCCCAAGAGTGTAATTATTCCAATGAAAGTTACTCATGAACAGGGGCGATTTCATGTGATGGCATTTATGGTGCTTTGCCAGGTAGCTATCAGGTTTATTGTGATATGCGGTGATTTTAAAGTGATCAATTGAGCATTAATTTCATATTCACAAAACTGTACTGGTTGGTTCCAAGGTTATGTCTGTACATGAAACCTTGGGTTGTGACCATTCATTTGAAAGCTATCAAGCCTTACTCTCATGTGGTACTGGTTATCATGCTCATTTGTGGAAGTTGACGCAAACTTTTAGTTTTGAGGATTAAATCTAGTACTGGGTGACCGTTCAAATGAACGATAAACTGAGCAGTACTTTTATTTGGTACTATTTAGCAGCTCTTTATCATGCTCCACTTTAATAAGTAAGTGCAGCTGCTTATACTTTATTAGGTACAATCTACATTACCATCTACATTAGCTTTTCCGGTTGTTGGTAAAACCTTCAGACATGATACAAAAAAGCCACAAAGCAGTACTTTCATGTGGAAATATTTTTCGTTCTGGTTTTGATGGTCTGTGGATAAAACATAATTTTGTGAAATTTTGAATAGTACTGAACTACTGATAAATCTTTCATGTTGAGGAGAATTTGAGTCTGTTTAACGTCGGTTTATCATTTCGAGCACACCTGTCTACGGGTACAGTACAAGTTAATCGCGTTCCAAAACTCTTCGTACAATAGTGTATAACGTAATTAAGTTCTCTTAAAGTTGTCGTTAATTGTTAATTGCACAGATGTTGACAGGTTTGATTTGTAATGCACATATTCAGTTTTGTCAAAAGCTATTGATAATATATGTTTTGGTTACAAAGTCAAAGTACCTAGCTTAAAGCTTGACTTGCCTTGGCTGCCATAAAAACTCTAATATCAGCTACTACTACTTTTCGTAGCTGAAATTGTTATTACACAGTAACTTCTCAAGTAAATGCCATAAGACTGATTAAATATATGCAAATTTGTTCAAGCATTTTCTTTTTGTAACAACGGGTTCAACCACTATCCTGCCATGTGGAGATTATAAGAACAAGAAACCTTGAGCCTTAAAAATTCGAAATTATGAAGAAGTGCGGCTAATTACAGAACAGTGTGGTTAATTGTACGCCAATTGATCATAATGGCAAATGGCCAGTTCAGGCCCTTAAAACCATTGTTACACTATTGTTTCAACTGGCGGAAGGTGAAAATTGAATCTTCTCGCATACTCTAGAAGTGATTCGATTTCTCCGATTGATCAAATAGTTTTTCCAAGGTGTACGTTAGCGCTGTCATTTCGTTACATCAACGTAGCCTGAGTTCGATTAGAAGCGAACTGAGTTCTCAATAGAAACCAAAAACTGCTTTTGTGAGTGTGAACTTGACTGGGGAACAATAGTTTTACGCGAAGCTTTTCTTTTAAATCCTCAAATCCTTTAGGCAAAGCAGTCATCTATGTCAAGGTTACTCTTAGTTGTTATTTTTATTCAAACCTTGTTTCAAACTGCAAATATTTTATCTGAGTTAATCCAGTCTAACCAAGCAGTTCTCAAATTAAAATTGGTTGAGAAGCGATGAATAATGAGGTTGAATTAATATTTTTCTTAACGCTGTGCGCGGCTGATTGTAAAAAAATTTGATCCGCTTTGTCTATTTTTTTTTTATCATTTACAACCTATTTTGCGAAACTAGATGTATTTATTTCCACTTTCATTCTTACTGGCTGTGAAATCAAGATTAATACGGAATACCGTACTTTCGATTTGTTAGCTTGTTTACTTAAGCTTTTGATCTAGAATATGTCCGTTTATTAAAATTTGGTCAAACTCAAAGATGTTTCGAGGCCATTTACTAAGAGCGGAATTGACTCACGGTGTCGTGATTTTCTCAGCCTTGGTAAGGTTCGCTTTCTCTCCGTCAAGTTCTCCTGACTATGGTCATGGAGAAATTTGTAATGAAATCTTCAAATTCGTGTCTGCGTGAGACTTCAACGTTAACTTGAAAAACGTCTTTGTAAAGGTTTTCAATTCTAATTCTCTAAATTAGGTGCATTGTTTACCAACAGTATACGAGGGACTAAGCGAAAGCATGTGCCATCGAGGTGTCTTTGTTCCAACCATGTGTCTTAAAGTGATCTTAAATTTCAACCGTGGGAACTTTTCCGCGGCCTTTTTAACGTTCCTCTTTGTCCAATCAGCATTAAGCTCCCCACCTGCCGTTGATTTAACTACAGGGATCATATCTGCCTATTGTTTACGCAGAACTATCTGGCATTGACGTAAAGAGACAACAAAAAATGGAGTAACCTTTTCCCGTATCGCAACAAATAAACGCCACTGTGAAACACCATAAGTCGTCAAAAGAAGTGGGCTTTTAAATTCTATCAGAGAAGAGCTCTTTAACTCACTCTGAATTCTTTCTTTCGCTAAAATTCGACTTTTGAAAAAGCCATCATTGATCTTTATCCATGTTAATAATAAAAACGACTGCACAATGGAAAAGCTTTGTTTCCAAAAGCAATATTCCTTTCGCGGTTGCCTGGATAAGGGCTAAGGAATATGTTTTCTGGCGAATGAGATTTACATGTGGCGAGCAGCAACAATAGAAGATAGAACGAAATGAAAGGACCTCGCTATATCGAATGCTAAGTCATTAAAGGCAAATAAAAGTGCTTACAAAACAATTGTTCCCTCTTGCTGAGAAATGCTTTGGTTTTTTCTTCATTCTTATGTCACTTTAGTGCCGTGTCTTGGAGCCAGCTTGACTTAAGGGTCACTTCTGATTGGTTGAAGAAAGCTCTGTTTTGTTCCCCATCGTAAATAAAATCAAGAATGGATCATTGCCTTAGCTAACAAAATTCAACGTCTGGTCGTAAAATACGCTAGTCAAATATTTGCGTTCGGCTAAAAAGGAGTGATCGTATTTTCCTTGACATAATCTCTTAAGTCGTGGTAAGTGGTGTTTTCTAACATTTCCAGTGATTTTCTTTACCTTGGAAATTAGGCTTATCAGAATTTAAAGGGTTATGGAATTTTTAAACCGGCGACTCTATTGCGAAATATTTTTTTTCTTTTAAGGATGTACTTCCGAGAGTTTTTGTTGAGTTACGTATTCACGTTTTTGTCTTTGATATTGGTTTACAGTTGCTAAGGTACATGTTTGGGACATCCTCCGGTAGTAGGCCTACATTTGGTGTCACTATGGAAGAAACAGCATCTCCAAATCAGTGGTTTTTTCAGGATACCGAGAATTTCTCAGCGACGGCGACCCCAAGCCTTGCGATGCCGGCGGTGAACCCATTGACAAGCTGTAATGAGCAGCAGTACTATCCACACGAAGTTTCTAATGATCAACCTAAGAAATCTGCCAAAAGTACCTCCCTTGAGCCACGATTACGCCGTATTAGGGCCAATAACAGAGAGAGGAGGCGTATACAAGCAATTAACGATGCAATGGAAGCTCTAAGAAAAGCTATCCCAAGCACAAACAATAAACGTAAATTGACTAAATTAGAACTTTTGCGACTCGCGCAAGAATACATAAGACAACTCTCAGAAATGCTTTGTTCAAGCACGTCTCCTTTCGAAGATGAAGTTGTAAATGTAAGTTTTTCCTACCCTGCTTACACAAATTATTTTCCAGAGACTTGCTTTACAAATTAGAGCTTTTTTGTATGAAATAAGTTGAGTTACGGTACTAAAAAACAGAGAACTTCATCAGCGGAACCGATAAAAATCTTCGGAGAAGCATGGTCGATGTTCCTTACTGCCTGGTTGACACGGGGTGTAATTTTTTTCTATCGAAATTTGTAAACAAGTCAGACACACAGAAAGTGCATATGATCTAACTGCAGTGCGGTGATGAATGTAATATTTAACAAGTTGTAAAAAGGTCGATGTCTAAATGGGTAAAAAAAGATTTCATAGTACTTTATATCATCTTTCTCAATATCCGAAATCTATAGGAAAGCTTTTTCCCCCAATAAAATACATGAGTGGAATTAAACGCCTATGCTTCCTTACTATATCAGCTTTAATGGTTTAATTGAAGGGGAGGAAACATTTTGTAAATCAAGCTATTACAACAGCAAACAATAAAGACAAAAAAAACTGTGTCATACTCTCGTACGATCCATTTTTTTTTCATAAAGTGAGTCTTGCTCAAGTTATTGTGTAATTACTGTTAGTAACATGGCCTTTTAAAAGGTTTCCTAACAAGATTTTTCAACCTTAATGTATAGAAAACTTTTCTTTTTACATTTTTCAAATAACCTCCTCTGTTTTCAGCTCCTTTGAGTACTTTTTCAACAGTTCTTGTGCAATCTGTACCGAGGATGTTCCATGCATGTTGGATGAATGATTGTAAATTAAGTTTCCAATTAAGGAGAATTATTTAAAGTCTGGTTAACATGGTATAAGATACATAAAATATTGAATACCCTGACAAACATGTCTGCAAACAAAGTTGTTTTATTATTACTGACAAGGTCAAGTAATTCCAATACTTACAATTAGCACGTGGTGTCAAGTATAGCTTCCGATTTAACGGAAATCAACAGAGAAAACATCAATAGTTGATAAAAGAGGATATCCAAGCTTTTATCTATCGCAGTATTTCCTTTTTTTTCCGGTTCTTTTCGATAAAATTTAATTTGAATGTTGCACTCCTTAGATAACGCTCTTGAAAAAGAATCTTTATGACAACTGATCTTTATTTGCTCACTTTCGTTTCAAGTAAAAGACCACACCATTTCAAACTGTTCACATTTTTTCCCGCGACAACTCCAGTTATCCCTTCAGGCAGCATTCAACCAAATCTGATGAATTCAGTGGTTGAGTTGAAAGGAGTTATTTACAATACTTGTGGCTTTGGATACAAAGGCCCTCTAAGTGATGATTGATATGTTTCTATGTAGGTACCAGAACTGCTAAATAAAATTCCCGTCAGGTTTTTCTCCATTCGTGTATTTTGAAACGGTGACCTTGGCCACGATTTCTGCCCTCTTTGAAAATAACTTTTACTAAAATTAGCTGGTGCCATCTTAGGGTTAAGACGATTCTTTCACCAAACAATGTGTTATATTTTTAGAAAAAAAAACCGTAATTTGAATAAAATAACTTAAATCTTGATCCTGTCTGTTAGATCCTCTGGCTTATAAATTACTTTGACTCAGTTAAAGTAGTCCTAAGTATTTAAAACTTCGGGCCTCTCAGAAAAAGACCTAAGTAACCAAGTGTGTGGTCAAGAATAAAAATAAACTCACTGTCAGAACTGGCAGCTGTTTTAGATAACAAAGAATATCACAAGCGAAAGAAAAAAGTTTCAAATATTTTTGTGAAGAAAACCAACGCTGCGTGAGAAGTAGATCTACGAAATTAGAAGGTTTTTTTTTCAAGAGAGTTCTTTGAACGCTTTGATGATGGTACTGCAAAACAGCAAAGGCCATTGTTGATGTCTTCGTTCAAATCCGGATTTTAAAGTATGCAGTTTTAAAACTGAGTTCGAAGACATTTTCCAAATGAAATGAAGCATGAAGCATATGTGTAATGCATGTGTGGAACATGATCAACACATGCTCTTCAAAAGGGGAAACTCTTAACCAAGGCGGCTGGTCCAGGCGTGTCTAACAGGTGGTACGCCCATATGTGTCCCCGAACTTTATACTACAGATCATCCTCAACTTGACTCTTTGAAGAAAGAGGCACATGCTTGAAAATTTAAACCAAGGTGTGTACAGTGTTGATTCGCTTACACGCTGTGCTGTATAGAGTAACAACGCCGGTGGATCGCGCGAAGTTTTTACACCCATTTCCGGACCACGCCTTTTTCCCTCGTGTCAATGTAATGCGATATTGGGGTAAGCACGCCGGAGGCTAACTCCATTATAATTCTTTAATTCTCCAAAAGCGCCTTTGTTCATCACAAGTAGAGGAGAAATATTCCGCTGAGCTATACAGATTGATGGATGAATCGTACAATTAAAGGCAAGATTTGATTCATAGAAGAACAAAGGCAGCCCTGCTGTTTTTGGGTTTTGACTTTCACGGCGCGAAATCATGTAATCTCTGTCAACTAGTGTCAGTAAACCGTTCTTACAAGCATGCCGCAGATGAAATTTACGTTCTTCGACAGAAAAAACGCTTTCTTAATCTCGACAGCAACAATTTCTCGACTGATATACTTCGTGAGCTAACTTAATCTTGACAGCAACATTTTCTTGGCTGATACATTTTGTAAGCTCACTACATACACAAACGGCTGTTTATCAGCTCGTGACGAGATCAAGAAATCATATTTAAAGAAACCATAAAAATCAGGCTCAAACCTTCACCTGCCTTGGACCAAAATTATTGCAACGATTAAGGTAGGCATTTCAATGTGTACATGTACGAAATTTAAAGTACTTATATCGTCCCTCAACTGTTACATCTATTGTTAATACCACTCGTGCTCGGAGTTTAGAAGGTTTTAGGCCGGGGGGGAACAAAAACAAGCTCCCCGCCGAGAAAATCTTTTGGAGTACGCTTAACTCTGTGCGAAAGTTTGTTTCTCAGGTGAAAGCATTTGTGGCACGGTACGACCACGTTTAAGAAGGGCGTTAGTTTTGTAACTCAAGAGCACATGGCTTATAATTTCGTAAAACAGTGTACAGTTGTTGGCGACGGGAAAGTGGCATGTTGTTGCAGATCAACCTCCAACACAAGTTAAAAAATCTAATGAGAACTGCGCAGTATTAAAAAAATCTAGAGAAATCTTGGGAAACAGTTTCCGAAAATCAATAGATACATCTAGAACATTCATTGTCCGTTTAGGAGTTAAAAGCTTTCCCCACCTCTCAATTTGATTGAATTACAATTTCGCTCTCTAAGACGATTTATGTTCATCACTTTTATTCAAATAGCGTTCCAAAGAATCAACAAATGTATCCTTGGTGAAAGAAAAGGAAGAAAAAAGGTACGTTTCCTCAGTTTTCACTTGAGTAGCCTAACTTGAATATCAATTCCAAATCCTTTGGCTTAGAATTTGAGAATAGAAACGCTTTAATTTTGACCTAAAAGATCGTCCAAGTTTACTTTGAATCAATTAATGCGCAAACAAAACAGAGACAATAGCAAGGGCTTTACGATAGGTAAGAACTCGACAAAATTATCGTTTGCTACATCAAATCGTTATACATTAAAAGGGAAAAGTTTCTCTCGCTTCATCTCAGAGTTTTTGGAAATTGAAGAGTTCCAGAGAACTTAGGTTGGTGACAAAAGTTTACATCTAAGGTAAGGAAAGAAAACGTACCACTTTGACATGTGAACATCTACTTTGAAGAAGCAAAAATGTAACTTGAATGACCTTGAAAATTAGTACAGACCAGTTTATCAAAACATCAGAGCTCCACGTGCTTTAAGCTTCCTTTTATTCGCTCATGCATGTAGGAATGCCATCGATAGAGCTCTACTTATATTCTTAAACTAAAGATATATATTTTTCATCAAAAGACAGATCTTTTCATAAGATTAATTTAAGAAAGTTTTCGAGGCTTAAGTGATTGGAATCATTGAGAGTTCTCAACTGTTCTTTTTGAGTGCGAATTATTTGAAAAAAAAAACATTTAATTTGCTCTTTTTCTGAGAGAGGCAGATTTCCACTTAGTGCCTCTTTTTAGTAATCTTTGTACATTTCAAAAATTATCGATTTCTACTTAAAGAAGCATAATATAACCGTGTGGTATAGTAATCTGCCTTCAATAAACTTTGCGGTTAGCCATGAATTGTATGTTATCATGAGAGAGGCAGGAGGCTACGAAAACAAATTAAAAAACATTACCTGAGATCAAAGAGCCATAGGAAATGTGACTGCCATAAAAGTACTCTTCACATGAACGAATATTCTCTTTAGTTGGGCCTGGAAAAAAAAAGAAAATTGTGACATGCCTTACATTTTAAAATCGTCAATTAAGATGATTCATCTTTTGTGATCTCGAAGTATTTCACCATTGCGAAGCCTCTGAATACTACCGTGCCCAGAAACTCTTCGCTGCTCGTAAGGTTCAGAAGTTCTGAACTATAAATATACCTTGTAAAATTCTGTTTCTGTTGATTATTTGACACTGACAAAAACATCGTTATTCATTTATCGACCCGCTTTTGGTGGCGCTGAACTCCACGTGGTAAGGAGCTGACCCAAAATCCGACATGGAGAACTTAGATTAAAAAAAAACGATTCCCCGATTGCCAGTTTTCAAGCCTTTCAACTCATTAAAGTGTTGAAAAGTTAGAGGAAGAATTAGAACGTTAAAGTTTACTATCGCTCAAAGAGTTTAATGAACTTTAAGCTGATTGTTCGAGGATTTGATTCACGCATGTTGAGACAGTTACACTCCGCAAACATTCCTTAGTATCGCCTGTGTTTTTCTATGATTCTTCGCGTGAACCATACTCATTGAAGTATACTACAGTCCAAATATAGAATTCTAATACACTTCTTTTAGGAACAGAGACGAAGTAGAACGAAGGTTAAGATATGATAGTGTTTCCTTGTCTGCTTCAAAACAAGAGACTGATCTCCATTCACTATACTGTCACTATACTCTTCACTATACTGTCGTGTTACTTTGCCGCCATGTGTGCTATGATAAATTGTCGCATCCAAAACCGTAAAAAATACAGTGAGAGGAAATTAGCTAATAAATCAATCAAAACAAACGCTCATGCTTGTTGTTCAAATGCCAAACAATGACTTGCATCCGCTAGAGAGCTACGCAACGAATTATGTAACAGAAAACACGTCATCCCCGTGCAGTAAATATGAGCTCCAAAGCTTTTCTCATTGCCCTTAAAAAACAAGAAAGGGTTACCTAAAATTCCACACAAATGATCATTAAAACCAGCTCGTGTACATACATTTCATTTGAAAGGCGTCTGTCTTTGAGCTAAAGCCATTGTTCATTTGGAAGGCTCAGTGACGAAGTAAGATATTCTCGTAGAAGGCACTTAAAGTAACTTTCATTTAGTAAAACATGCTGTTTCCACTACGGCTTCCGTTCAAAACAACTTCTGCCTTGATTAAATTCCTTCCTACATTATTCTTCCCATACAATACTTGTTTTTATTTCGCTTGAGTTACTTTGCTACGCATATCGACTCGGAACGCAAGAATGAGCTATTTCAAGATCTCATGGTGTTTAGGCAAAGTAAAACGGCAGTGAGAGATTACTCAACGCACGGTCCTTTTGGTTTCTTGGTACAGCTAGAAGCTTGGTATTCTCTACCTTAAGGTAGCCGAGAAACAATTATGACGACTGTAATGAAATTTCCATGAAAGAATTGTTTCCCTATGGAACTCTGATGAATTAGCGAAATTGCACCCCAACTAAGAACAAAACAAACTCGCCTAGGCGGAAAACCACAGCTGGAGTAAAATTAAAATCCAGAATGACGTGCTTTTGTCTTTTTAAAGGGACAACTGGGCAAACAATGGCGTTTATTCCTGGTGCTAATCTTTCAGGGCAGCTTGCCAATTAGATGGCAATTAAATGGATTACTTCAAAACAACCTGTGATCTTTAACTCAAGACATCAGCGCTATCGTCGGCCAGCGGTCGTAGAGTTAAAAATTGACTATTTGTGTGGTTCTCACGGAAATGACTCACATACGAAACCGTTTGTTTGGCTATGTCCCCTCAAACTGAAAGAATATCTACCACATGTACAAACCACAAAAGTGAATGATGCTTTTGTAATCACAATTAATGGATTAAATTCTCTCGTATTTTCGTAGCCTTTCTCCAAATTAGGAGAACTTTGAAAATTCAAGTGAAATAGATCCAAAGACAAAGGCACCGTGCGATTTCTTCTCTTCAGATATAGGGCGAAACTAAATTCCACTTAAAAGTGTTTCCCCGTCACCTCAAATTGAAGCGTTCCTCCCTTGAAGGTTTTTTTGGAAGCTACCGTCCACCGCGCGAAATGTTAACCCTTCCAATATCTCATTAGTAATTCTCCTTACTGTCTGCCATATAGTTCTTGCGATGTTAGTTTGGAGAATTTGGTATTGGATCAACTAATAATCCCTACTTTTATTCTCGTCACTTGTCTGCTTGATATTGTATCGATATTGTATGGAGAAATTCTCTCTTGGTCACTCATGGGAGTTAAAAGGGGGACCGTTCATAACATATCACCTGTGGTAGGGTGGGGGGAAGAAGAGTTTTAATTGGCTAACAAAAACAATTTACCTGTTCCCCTCCCCTGAGGCTCTCTGGTATTGTGGGGTTACTCTCTCGTTGGCAGCAGGGGCACATTACAAGTAATGAGCTCCTGCTGGCAGTCAATTTTCTACAGTCCCCTTTTTATACTCTGACAGTCCCCTTTTTATAAGACTGAGCCCCCCTCCGTTACATCTGAAAATCATGTGACCCCCAAAAAAACCCTCCCACCCCCTTGAGTTATGACAGATCCCTAGACTGTCACGTGAGAATATCACGTGGATGAAAATAGTCAATAAACCGTGTAAACCAGCTTGAATGAAATGTTGTCCTTTCCACTTTGAAAACTGTGAGAAGAAGAGACAATTTATAGCGGCGTAGCTGCGCTCATTGTGTGAAATTTTATTCCGCTGTTCTTCTTTATGAATCAGCGAGCTCGTATTTATGCGGCGAGAAAGACTAGTAAATGGAGTATCTACAAGCAAGAGATTATAAACTGACAATCTCTTGCTAGGACTAGAAAAATCTGCATTATGAATATTTTCCGGATTTGCGCTTGTTCGTATGATGTTGACTTGGAAAAGATAATTCATATACTTTATGTAAACCACGACGGTAAAGAGAACGTGGCCAGAAGAGAAGATTTAACGGAGATTTTAAAATTTTGTAGCCGTCCTCTGTAAAACAACAACATGAAATTTTCCAGATTTAAACCCCTTCTTATAGAATGTAATCAAACCACTGCCGAAATCGGACGTGCTGTTATAATGTTATTTCTGAAAGAATATTCTCAACTTTTCAGCGCCCTTTCAAGACTAGCAGCCAATCAGAACAGGATGTCAAGAGGAGCCAATAAGAACTCAAGGAATTACAGGTAAGCAGTCTGATTGGCTAAGGTGCTTCATGTGTGAGTTTTTTGCACCAATCACAGATCATATTGTAATGAATTTGATGAAGTATTAGATATCTCTACCGAGACTTGTTCTGACTCCAAAGCATCACTTGTTACGAAGAGTACGCATTTACTATTTTTTCAAGCAGATATGGGAGCAAAGTTAGCAAAAAGAAAAGAGGCAAAGGAAAGTCTTGGCAACTCCTTGGGTGAATTAGCAAAAGATCCGAAGAAACGGTATCGACAAGATCGACCCATCCAAAATGAAACAAGCGACGACGATTGCGTAGTTGAAAGCAACAGCGATGGCGGTTCAGACGCTTCAACGAAGGCGAAAAAGAGATTGAAGGAATTACAAGTCGAAAGTCCTCCAGGATTCCGGAAGTTTGAGTCCGAAGTAGAATGGCAAAGGATTGATGCAGAAATCGCTCTGCAACTCTGGGAAGACGTGTTTAAACCAATGTACACATTTTATTGAGGGAGGCAGACGAAAATCGCGGTAACGTTATCATTTGAAACTTTGTGCGATTAGAAATATTACACGAACTTTGTAAATATTCCGTTTGGTATTATTCTTACGAAGACAATCAGTCCATTATAATGCTGTGTGTATAGCCACATTTTCAAATTTCATCAGAGAGAAATTTCACAATACTGAAGTATCTGTCACATGAAAGTTAAACTAAAAAAACCTTTCTTATTGTTGGCTTAAGACTGGAATTCACCGTCAACTTTGGCAAAATAACGGTGAAAATGACGCTTTTCTTGAAAAATTGCTGTAACCGCTTTCAGCTCGACGAATTTTTTTCTTAAGCTTAAAAATGTCTAAGCTAAGTTTCTACAAACATTTATTTTGAAATTCAGGCGAAAAATCTCCTATATATTTTGAGGACAAACAAAAAAATAAACTAGATTTTAGGCAACAACCTGTGTTGAATTTTATTCTTTAGGCTATGTCCGTGTGAGGTAGACATCGTTTGCTCAATTCTGTCTGCATGCTACGTGACCAATAAGGTTACAATAGTTTGGTGAGGTTTGTTTAGCACCTTCAATTGCAATCTACGTCGTCAAATTTACATAACCTTAATTAATAGTAATTAGCAGTAATTGGATGAAAATTGTTCTATTGACTCGTGAAAAACCTGTTTCCAGTAATTTTGTCACACAGAATTTTGATAATGTCTGCTCACATAACCCAATTGGTATACATCAAAGGGTCTCAGGAGGGTGATGGCTTTTACGGCTAACGCTAAAAATTTGGCCATTTCATGTTTAACCTTTCAATCCCTGAGAGTGACCAGCATCTAATTTCTCCTTTCAATATCACCCCTGAATCAAACATTAAGGTCATGAGAATAAAGGAGATGATACTCAACTAAAGAACCTCTTGACTGTTAAACAAATTCTCCTTGTCAGCACTTTAGGAAATGGTGAAGAATGGTTAGGATGTGAAGGGTGAACGGTTATGTCATTCCATTTTTGTCATCAGAGAATTTTTTATAACGGTTACCTATTTTTACGGCTTTGCTTAAATATATAAAGTCTTTGGCCGTTTTACGGCTAACGGCATGAGACCCTCATATCAACTCGGCAATATTCAAAATTAATTGCATCGTGATGTATTTCAAAAGATTGATTAAAATGCTCTAAAAACCAAAATGCTTAAAACCAACGAGAATCATCGGACCCCATCGGAACTGCACAGAAGAGTTCGGATGTTTTAACACAAATTCAATTGTGAAAGGGAGATATTCTGGAGCATTGAATGATTGCAAAAACTATTGATTAAAACAATTTTACCACAATTGGCAATGATATCGCAATCTGATCGGCCAATTTGCCGTTGTCGGTAAGAGTACAGATAACGCTGCTCGCGTCAACGTGTCACGCGATGGTCACGCACTGAAAGAATATTTTTATTTGACGTCGACATTGTGGTTAAAAAAAAAACAAGTCAACGGTCGTTAAGCTTGCTCTGTACTCTTATCGACAATAATATTTGTCATCACATTAGTAAAAATTTGTTGCGGACTTACTCGGCTGCGCCTGTAAGTCCACAACATTTTGACCATTGTGATGACAAATATCATTGTCTATAAGATAAGATAAATATCAAAAATTTCTCCTACTTCCTTTGAGACTGGGACTTAATCGTGATGGGCTAACCCTTGCTCCCATCCCTGTGAGCCGAAAGGCTCTGGGAACGAAGGTTTGATACGACTAGAAATGGCCCACTTTCGATGTTCCTGGGCCGGGAACAAGGAGAACTGGACTGTGCGCATGAAGTCGAGGCTTAAGGGTAAACTCACTCAGCTGAAATTTTCTGTGATAACAAACGTGTCTTATGAAATGCTGTAGTCATCGAAATCCCGTCGCGTAACTGACAAATAATTTTTAATTTCCTTTTGATGTAGAAAATTATCGTTCGTATCAGGAACCCATAACTTGGGCTCCTGTTCGTAGCCATTCTAGGGCTCCCTAGTGTCGGAAGTTGAAGGCAGCAAGTCAGGCTTGAGATAAATGCAAATATGTAATTTTTCGGGATCTCGGAATTTCTGCAGAACTCTTTTTTTCTCGCCACGGTTGCTCAGGCGCAGGAATCGCTGACAAAGTCCAAAGGATTATTTACTGACATTTACTGAGCTTCAGGAAAAAATATTTTGGTATTCTGTTATCATCTAGGTTGTTATCAGAACAACTACATTTCTTGGCATATCGTTTGTTTCTTCTTAATTCATTGCGAGAAACTCGCTTATCAAAAATCTTCGCAGGCAGCTGAACAGAATCAATGCCATTTTGACACGCAATAGTCACTTGAATATTCTCTTTAGCGTCCTTGTTTTGGGACCTTCTCGTCAGCCATTTACCTTAGTGTGATAAAATAAAACATAAACATATTTCCCTACCAGCTTTGCGCGTCTCTGTTTCCCTCCGTAAGAAGAAATAAAAAAGCCACGTCGAATATCTGTAATCGTCCGTTTTCAGCTCCAATTGTAGTGGAAACCTCACGCCTGACATGTAACCCATTCAAAATCTCTAATTCAGCTTTTACAGTTGCACTTTTCCTCCATAAATAGAGATAAAGTAGCCACGTCGAATAGTTATGGTCATCCGCTTTCAGATCCAACTGTAGTAAACAGCTCACGCTTAAAAAATTATTCAAAATATTTAATTCAATACAACATTCCACACGGACGTTCCGCCACTAGGGAAAAGTACTTATTGTGTTTTGCAAGGAACTGTTGCTATGTTTACAGAAACGGGGAAGTAGAGAAATAGAGAATAATTCATGGCGCGCGTAGATATGGAATTTCTCACGGAGTGTTCAACAGACGATAGCTCACGAGTAAGCGCAGCCATATCTACAGGCAACCATGTACTACTTTGTTTATTATATAAACACAATGGCCCTTTACTAACAAGGAAATTTGACTTTATTGATGAATGAAAATAAAAGTATCGACAATCTCCGAATAGAAATGAGAAAGTGCGTTAGCGTAAGGCTTAAGATAAAAAAAAACGCGTTGAATCATAACAAAAACAACAGTGGGCGTAATTTTCAACTGTACAAAAATTGTCAGTTATTGACTTTGTCCTTACCGACAGAAGAAATCTTCCAAAGTCGGCTTGTGGCAAATCTTCCAACTGTCGATTTTTGTTCTCAGCTGCGAGAATTTCCATTACCAAAGCCGCTGAATGCTTGACTCTCGGGTTTTTTTTCGTATTTTGGTTTCCTTCCCGTTATACGAAAGTTTTAACGTCACTGTCTTTAAGCGATGGTGATTTTTCAGTGTTTTAGTAGCCATAATCCGACAAAATTACGACAAACGACCATGGATTGAGAATGGCGAAGGCTTTGCCGTTCATTCATCAACCTGACGGAGTTGCGCAAAGGGCGAGTGACGTGTCAGCGGCTGATTGGCGATATCAAACAGGCGTGAAAAAATATCGTATTTTTCCATAAGTGTTTTTGCAGCTTTTCTCAGGGCTGGAAATCCTTGTAGAACACATAAATACTTTATATACAGCTGCTTTGTGAAAAGTTGCGGGAAAAAAAGCGTAAAAAAGCATGCGGAAATATCGTTGGTACTTTTTTCTTTTACCTCAGGATTTCAGAGAAATCTGAGAAAAGTCATAGTAGGAACGAGGCATCGTAGGTTGGATGAAGTTATTTATTTGAATTGTTAAAATTCATTGATTACTTGATACCTCGATTGCTTTCAGGGATTGTTGCGTGCAGTTTTTCCTTTTTACGACAACCTTTTTCGAAAACAGCTGTATGTACTTGAAATACTTTGTATGTGTTTTCATATCAGTCTTCGTCTGATCTTAGGACCACTCAGAACCAAGGAAAGCAGGCTACAAGCAGTTTCACAGGCAATTTAGTATTACCAACTGAGTTGATAACGTAAATTGGCCGCCGTAAAGAGTTTAAAAGCTGACGTTTCGAACGCTAGCCCGTCATCATTCGCTCTGACGAAGGGCTAACGCTCGAAACTTTGGCTTTTTAAACTCTTTACGGCGGACAATTTACGTTATCAATTCAGTTGATGATACTAAATTACCCAGTTGTCCTCTCCCATCGACGCAGCACCACAGTTTCTCTTGAAACTTACCCCCTTAATACAAGCAGTTTCGCTCGTTGCTTCTGGCCTGGGCATTTGAGCTGTGAAGGAAACTTGTTCGCCGAACATTTATAATTTAGCAAACACAACTTCCCAAAGAAGAGTTGCCAAGGAGGCTTGCTGGATAAACAAAGATTAGAATTGCAGCATAGTTTTTCCCTCGGTACATTTCCAATTTGCCAAGAGGGTTTCGATTTCAAGTTACCCAATACAGAGCCAGGTAAATAATGACTGCTGACCAGTCTTTCCTCGAGTCTCCTTTAAAACATGTTATTTCACCGCTGGTAACGCCCGTGGCCCTCGGACGGTGTTCTGATTTGCTACCCGAATGGGCAATCTGGGCCCATTTTGCTCGTTCGGGATTGCGCTTTAATTCCGTGCAAGAAAAACATTACGTGGAGCGGATTTAAAAAGTTCGTAATTTTTGGAGAGCTTAGGCACACACGACTCTCGTTGGTTTTTGTGCTTCGTCTCGGTCCATAAAAAACGCCCCCCCCCCCCAAAGTTGGTCATCTATCATTCCTTTCTATCACTTTTCTATACAAGTTACAATTCACGTTCCTTCATTGTAAAAAATCTTTATTAACGGATGATTATTAATTGATAATTACATATATATTTTGCGCTTCTAGAGCTTTTCTTTTAGATGACTCTTTCGCGGTATTTGTATTAAAATTCTTAACAAGAATAACCATATAAACTCCGTTTTCAAAATACCACTCAGTTCATCTCAAACGTGTTTTTGAGTTGTTTCGACAGATTGCAGGAATGGTCTGCTCTCTGACTTTCCACTATTCCTTTCAAAACTTTTAGTCACCAAAATTTCAGCATTGCACATTGTTTTTGCTAAAATGTAAAAAAAAACTTAGTTATTTATGTAGTTAATTTTCTTATAAATGGCACAGTGCAAAACCTTAGATATAAAATTCTGACTAATCTGAGAGAAAAAATTTTGAAATATTAAGAAAAAGCAAAATACTAGAGAAATGAAAGAAAAATAAGCTAAACGAAGTCTGTGATACTCAAGCTAAAGTAAAAATAAGAATTTAATTGAGGGAAAAATGAGGTAAACTGTTTTAAGAATTTTCGTGATATTTTAAGAAAGGAGAAAAATTCCTCTAAATATATAGCTAAAAGAAGCTTGAATTAGGATAAAAATATCTAGGTATTCAAATTGAAAGCAAGAGAACGTGAAATGATTTCCTCTTGCTGTAGTCACTGTTTATTGTGTCTGATTCAGTAACGGACAACATTATGCTTGTATTTTATTCTCCTTTCCATCAAGGTTTCCAATCGGAAGTCATCGAAACCAGACGTAGCCTGCAATATTACAATTCACCATCCTTCCATACATCAGTTTGAAGGAGCATCTTCAATTCTCCGCGGACAAGTCTACGAATATTATCCATTGCAATCTTCATGTTGCACCGTTACTGTCCGATTTCAACCCACGCTCTTACGTCGCTCACTTCGCGAGCGTTTATTTTTTTGCGTTTCAATTTATTTTTCCGCCGTTTCAGGCGAATTTATACGTCCGGGTGTAGAATCTTGCAAAACCAACTTTTGAAGACGAATTATGCGGACTTAAACATGTCTGATAAGAGCCTTTCCATTGGGATGTTGTCAAGCGTACCACGAAAAAACATCTGCTCAATGCATTTTACGGACAGCACTCGCAATGCAGGTAGCATGAGGAGTAATCGTCCAAAGCGAACTTGCTGGTTTGGATATGTTTGGCGGTCATATTCTCCCAGCATGCTTTGCGCTTGGTCTTGAAGTTGCTCAACGTGACTCGGGGCTCTTAGTCCTCTAATATCTGTAACAGCGAGAATGAAAAAAAATAAGCTTAAATGATTTCATAGCGATTAATTATTTTTTATTATATTATTTCTTTTATAGCCCTCATTGAGCATCACGGTTTGTTTGTCTTAGTAAAGAATATGGTTTAAAACCAAGCGTAACATTGAACTCGTGGTCTGATCGTGCAGAGTAGTCTTGAAAAGAATTGTTGATGACTTGCGCTCAAGTTGTCACTGCAACCAACAACAGTCCGTCCCATGACTACGCTCACTTACATTACGTGGCTACCTTTCCATATTCACAGATAGAGCCAAAAATTTCAAGTTTGGTATTTTAAATCTTGTCTAGGAAACCCAGATATATCGGTTGAACTCTCCGCTATTTCAGGCTTAAGTTTTTGCATTTTGGTAATAGCGCGGCAGAAAGATTTTAGAAACTTAGTATTGTAAATATGAAGAGCAAAACATTATTGAGGGGTGACTTTTCAAATTCTATCAAACCATTCGGAAAGAAAAAAATTTGATAGGAGTTGTTGAATAAGGGTCTCATCGGAGTAATAGATTTTACGGCTTAAGGTTAAAATTTTGGCCATTTTAAGGCTAACGGTTAACATCATTCCATTGTTTTCACCGGAATTTTTTACGGTTTATTTTTTTACGACTATCGCTTGAAAAGTTGTCAAATTTTACGCCTAACAGCTGTAGTTTTTGGCCATCTTACGGCTACCAGTAAACGCCATTGAGACTCTCTTTATTCTCTAAACAAACATAAAGTTAAAAAAAAAGTCAGCATACCAGGCTTAAAGAGAATGATGGCTTTCAAGCAGGCATATTCCGTCTGGTCTATATTCGCTGCTCTAAACCTTTCCACAATATTTTTCATTGCCTTGATCTCACTCATCCCGCAGACTGACTTGTCCGAGTTATCCCGCTCCGGGCTCAATCCCGCAGCCGCGAGCAAAGTTCCCATCTCCACGGGCAAGTTCCATTGCGCGACACTTAGAATGAAAAGCTCGCTCCAGCCCTCCTCCAATAAGATCGCCTGATCGCGGAATGGAAGATCAAAGAATGTCGGAATGTTGCGAACCCATTTCACGGTCATAAATAGAATCCGCACGGCGGACTCGTGCAGCATTTCCGGTGAGCTAAGATACATGATTGGATAGGGCACCTGTTGTCCATGCTGGGGCGTGTGCGGAGGTGTCATTGCAGTCGCCACGGAAACAGCCACTGGGACGTCTTTTGGGCTCTCGGCGTTTGAATATCCCATGAGGAAGGCGCTCTTATGTTCCATAGTATATCTGGGCGGGCTGTTCCTGAAGAATATAGGTTCCGGAGTAACAGGAGAGTCCAGAAGTTTTTCTTTCTTTGGAGTTACGTGGATTTGGCCTGGTGGGAGATCCATATGCTCCTGCTCGTAGCTGTTATGTTTCCTCTTCAGAGGCTTGCATCGGATTTCTTCGTTTGACGCCTGTTTGAACTGATTTGTACGCGGAGCACGTTCGTGTTGCACGGCTGAAAACCAGTCATAACATAAGCTTATAAAACTGGACAAACGTTAACGAACTGATTCATAATAATAAGATAGCATGCCGCCAAATATTTTAGTGGGCAATATACACTTAATCGAAAATAAAAACTTAAAATAAAACTTTATAGAAATTTATAGAAATTGTTTATTTGCGCCTTTTATTTACCCTGGCAAGACACATGCTAAAATTAAAGGTTGGGTTTCCTGTCCTAGAGTGTTATGAAAGACAGTTGAGTTCAAAGATTGGTCAAAATCGAATCACGCTCTTTACATAATCTCAGTTTGGTTTCAATTGACTGTAAATTATTTTTTTCTGTGCTCAACTTAATTAGTCTTCTGGCTATACTTAATCAAAACAAACTTTTTGATATAGTTTTAAGCTTTGCTAAGTATTCAGTCAAACGCTATTTTCCTGTCTTTACCACAAAGTTCTCTTTGTTCTAACAAAACCCGATAATGATGAGAGAGCTTTTGAGTGTAATACAATTACATTACTAAGGGTGTAATTTCCTATCCATCAACACGTGTCATGAATTTCCCAAATGCATAGACTTTTCGAGCTACATTTTATTTAAATGAAATCAAGGGCGCAAATTCTAGTTCAGAAGCTCATTGTTCTCTTCCAGTCTGGTGTTACCAGCTACAATGTCCGACAAGTCTTGAACTGATTTTATTGAATGAAAATGAACTAAGGAAGTAAATCACATCCCGATACTTTTAGTTATTCAGAATTACTTTTTTATGGAATTGAACCCTGAAATGATAGTTTGATGCTAGAGCCAATCATCGGCCAAAGGAGAATCAGGAAGTTTCCGAGGATCATGAAAATCGACACAATTTGCAATCAACGAACTTAAAAAACTTATATTTTTTTTTTTGGCACGCACGAACAGTGATGTAACATAGTAGAGTTACTGTACATGCCTTTTCAAAAAACTACCGACCTGAGAACTATGCTGTACAATGATAGCCCAATTGAGGTGGACAAAAAACCTCTCCAATTAGTTACCAATGACAGCAGAGTGTGTGACATCACAATAGTAAACCCGTTTAATGTACCTGAGCCCCAGGGGCTCTCAAATCACTCTTGATGTCAAAAGCAGTCTTCTTAACTTTCAGCTGCTGTTCATGGAGATCAGAATTTCTCTCACTCTGATTGGCTTATTAGTCACAAGGTGGGACACCTTCGTTTTGAAGACCTTATACTTAACAGACAACAAGGGCTTTGAAATGTTTGTTTTGTTTGGCCTAATTCATTTTTGAATTCCACAGGACAGCGTTGATCCTCGAAGACAGAAAAGCTCATAATGCGTTTTCAACTTCATTCTTTTACAATGACTTAGCTGCGACATACTGACGAATATTAAAGAATTTGCGCGCTGAATTTTCGCTGAGATATGTTTAAAAGCAAGGCCAATTAATTGAAACGTGACTTTGATCTTGATTTCAGCAATAAATCAGAAAAAAACCTCTACAAAGAAACGGATGTTGACAAACCGCGGTAGAACAATGCGCGTCGGGGGAACAAACCATGCATGCATTGGTACGCAAGTTTATACCTGATTAACTTTTTTCCATTATTTAAATTCCGTTGAAATGATAAAGAAACGGGATAGGCTAGCTTCCAAATGGAAAAAATCCAATACTTTTGGAATCTATTCGACACTTTCCAGCGCCCTACAGGACTATTTATTTTTACTTTTGAAAAGTTTCTTGCACGGGAGAGAGAAGGAAAAATTTCTCGCGATTAGAAATATTCTGTAGTCGTTCTCTCTTAGAATGCAAAGCGCTTGAATCAGAGCGGAAGCTTTTCAGTGGTGAAAATTCAGCAGAGCTCGAATTCTTTGACCTCAAGTATTTGCCGCGAAAATGATCAGTGGTGGAAGACAAAAGCTCTGGTACTGTCTTTTAGCTCCAAAAAAGCATCTATTAAGTAGTTTTTTATTTTACATTGGGTTTGTTTTCTGTTTCGGTCTTTAAACACTGGAATGAATTATTAATCACCACGGTTCCATACAACGCTAATTTTGCATAATACAGCACTGTGGTGAGGTTTCTAAAGAAAGACTTTCATAGTTCGAAATAAATTGGGCGTATAAATTGTTCTTTGTGCTAAAACGATCAAAGAACTTTAGAAGTTTCGCGACTCAGAAGAGACGACTTGAAATACCTCCACTCAGTTCGGATTGGGCTGAGTACACGCAATAAATAATAGATTACTCTGCGGCGATGGGCAAAGAAATATTTTCAGTCGAATCGGAAGTTCGGAAGCGCACAGAAAATTTTGTCGCAAATAAAAGGAGGGTCCATTCGTTGAAAGAAAACATGTAAACAATAATTAATGGGGTTTTTTGGGATAATTGCATTAGCTACCCTGAGTTGAGGTATAAATTGGGAAGGTTATCTTGAAACGCCGTTGTGAGGTCAGGTATTGTTAGGGCAAATTGTCAAAATAAACAAAGTCGTTTCGCAACGGCTTTTATTTAAGCTATCGCGTTATGAACATGGCTGCCCTTACTGCGCTTAACTCGTACTAAAATTACCGTTTTTATGCAGAACCTACAACAAATTGATACAACCTGATAGAACCCGCTGATCATTCAGAATTCATTAGAAAGCATTTTGATCTGCACGGCAAGTTTTCGAAGCTGGATGAAATAATTGAGTAAACAAGGCAGCGATCATTAAAGGCGCATCAACAGATCCTCAGATAGAATTTAAAGTATTCATTGATCCGTGTAGAAACTTAAAAGATCTCTGCAGTATTGTACAATAGTGCGAATTTGTTGTGACGAACGCATTTTTGGGTGAGCCCAAATCTTTTATTTTAGGACAGGTGGTCTCAGCAGGTATGCTCAGTCCTTAATACAAAACATTGAGAGGAAACGAACGAGGCTCTTTTAGCAGCGAAAAGACAAAAAATTTCCATTAAAAGAGTATTGGATGCTGATTGAAAACAAAGAGCGATAAACATTTCAGTTTGCCCTATTGTCCTTCACTTTGAAAAGCCTTTGTTATGAAATTCGTGTCCTCTTCCTGTAACCCGACTAATAACCCCTGCTTACATTTGCAAGATAAAACGCTTTTTTTAAAATTTTCACTAGATTGGAAAGAAAAGATAAGTTGGCTTACCGTCCCTGTTCATGCGAACTTCAAAGCACTTTTTTAGCCGACAGGCTTGGCATTGGTTTCGTCTGGCCACATCTATAGGGCAGGAATTATTCTCTTTGCACTGATACGCAAGATCCCGGCGAATGCTTCGCTTGAAGAATCCGCGACATCCATCGCATGTTAATACTCCATAATGCTTTCCAGAAGCTCTGTCTCCGCACACTTTACACAGAACTGTTTGCTTGGCTTCTGAAATAGAGTTGTCAAGTAGTTGGTAATTTGACACTGAGTAATGTGACTTTTCGACTTTCGGCTATTCGGTAGATTAGCTTTGTTTGCGGCACGCGTACACACGAGTAAGCAACCCTCAATTAAACGGCCTCTCTTTTGATCGCGTTTTGCGATTATTAGCTTTGCTCAGGGGGCAATTTTCCCCAAAGATGAGGCGTTTTTCCAACGCTTTTACTTAAATAAACATCCTATCTTAATGCAATTTGTTTGATTAGGCGTAGCTTCTATTGCAGCTGTCTGTATAGAAATCTGGGGTACGTTATTACATCCAATAAATTTGAGCGTTGTTATTGAGCTAAAGTCTCTGAATTGCAATGCAAAGCGTTTTCGTTGTGCTATACTTTTTCTTTGTATATGACCTGGAATAAAATCGTATTCAATACGATTTTATGATCCACAGGAAATGATATTTAAGGTAATTTCCAGTATTTTATCGTACCTGATTTTCCTCTCCTCGCTGCAAGAACGTCTGCGTCAGCCATATTTCTGCAATTCTACAAAAAGAGGTATTCTGGTAAAAAATTTTCTTATGGAGAGACACCTCGAGTATTTCGATTTCTGTTCCCCGGGAGTTTCTGAGCTGACGATGTCTTGCATGAAAATTTAGAGGCGATATTTGTACTTGCTGGTCCTGAACAGGTGCATAAAGTAGGTATTCTCTGATTGGTCAGTGGTCAAGGAGCTTGGCTCTGATTGGTGGAAAACTGATCTCGGATTTGCATGGGTAACCACCTAATTAAATTAGATTCTCTTAAATGGTTTATGCGATCGTTTGCTACTAAGCGAGCATTCTCTCAGCAACTGATGAATGGGAGGCCTAAGCATGTGTGTATTCGTAACGGTGTTTAAACAGGAACAATAGATTTAACCTTGCTCCGCGATCCACCGGAATTAAGACGGTTCAAAGACTACATACCGCAGCTCTTTGAATGAGAAGCGATCTAATTCAAGTTCGGTTGCCATAGCATTTCTCGTGCAATCGCTAAAAATGACAATCACGTTTTAATTGCGAGAAATGTGTAACAATGCGTTTGGATCTCGAGTCACCGCTTTTGTTTTTTTTCTGTTCGTGAGTATATTCTGTCAGTTTTAAGTTATCTGTCTGTCTGTCTGTCTTATCACCCTCTGGCACAGTTCAAATTCGCTTGGCGTCCATACAGACCGAAGCACGTGGATTTGGTAGCTTTCACTAAGTAAACACATCTTACAAGTAACGGTTTTGTCTTGTTTAATCTTAATAGGCCAGCCTTCTTATTTGGTCTGTTAATTTAGGGTTATTAGAAGCTAGGATGACATTTTTGTTTGCGCGTCTCTGCTTTACCTCGTGGCAAGATAACCAACTCGCACGGAAAGAAATCCATGCTCAAAAGCCTTCAACCCTAATCTTAGCTTGTGACTTGGAGGTTAACAGTTCATAGCAGGAATTTTTGTGTTTGAATTTGCCTTTCATTTTCGTCTCTACTACTTTGGCGTTCTGATACAAAGTAATACAAAACTCACCGCAATTGAGTGTTTAAATCTCAGGGGAAAAAAACAGACATGTTTTGTGATGGAAATCTACAAAGTAACTCCTGCTTGGTTTGCAGGGTTATGCATATCAATAATCAATCATTCAGTGTGGTTGGATGCTTAAGGTTGGCTTTTATTGGCGATTACATAAAATTGCACTTGTTGAATCAATGCAAGAACCAGTCGTTAAGTAAATTGCTCTAAAATTTGGTTAGATAAAGTTTACTTTAAAGTCATTAGATAACTTGAAAGGAAATCAAACAATGAGGTACCTGTAAGAACGAGGTTTTTTTACGGCCGAGCCGTGAAGCAGACGTGACATCTGTGTCTCCTAGGATTCCGCCCATCTAATCAAGTTTACCTCAAACAATTAGCAAAATAAAAATGCTATAATTTTTGAAAACAACTACGCCTTCGAATGTGAAAGGTTTGCAATTAGCGAATGAAAAATGCCATTTGATTGCATCTACTTCAAGATTTGAGGCTTTTTTTGAATTGATGTTAGGATTAATCATATGCTTCTCGATGGCAAGGTGTTTGTGGAACAATTGTCCCCTGGGTGGAAAATACCGCTTGATTTCTCACCACGCGAAAGGAAGATCATTTTAGACTCACCAATATCAACTCTTTGTCATATTGATCATCGGACATTCCTTCAAGTTTACTTTTTGAAATTTGCTCTTCACAAATTGACAGTATCGATTTTTCTTCTTCCTTCGTAAAGAAAAACTGAATGCCATCAGAGATATCTTCTGTAAAAGCAAGAAGTAAATCATACGGTGTCCAGATCGTGTGAAAGAAATTTCTCTCACGAGCCAACTCGAATTTTATTTTTGAGTTGTAATGGATATTTAAAAACTTTTGTCTTTGTTTTTGCCGATAAATTTCGTTGCATGCCTAGGGGTTTACTTAAGCTTTCAATTCCTACTCTTTACCAAACCATGAGGCCTACTGAAGTGTCAAAATGTTTGCCAACAATTGTCTCCTAGTAATGAAAACCAGGATTACCATCTCAATTCAAAGCTAAGCAGAAGTCAAGAACTTTTTAATTAATGAAATATTTTCAAGTCCATACCGGAAATAGATCTGTACATGCAAAATAAAACTTTATAAGTCTACGAGGTGCACTGTATTTTTCCAGTTTAGACCCGCTTGCGAGTGAATTCCTCAATCCATGTCGATGACAAATTTATGTCAAAATCAAATTTATATAGAAAGTATTGTTGAGCTTCTTCGCAGTTGTGAAAACAACAGAAAAACGCCTCTTCAACGTTTAACCTTTTTCATTTTAAATCTACTTTAAACGCCAAAAAATAAAGGACACTATTCTAAGGCAGACGGTCGTTAAACTCTCTCCCAATTCACGTCTTGCGCGTAAAAGATCTAATTTTAGATAAAATTAGTCGCAAACGAATAAACAAAAAGCTAAGCTATCATTAAAGTCAACAATTTTGTCATTAAACCATCAGCTCGTTCTCTATGAGGTAGGATAAATATGGTTTGGAATTAAAACTGGCAAGGATTATTTAAAAGGAGCCTATAAGGTAAACAAGGGGCACTGAGAAATTACAGCATATCCAACGTTTACAGAGCAGCTCTTTGTTCACATATATCAACAACCTTTCCATTACTTCTCGGCCGCCAGCTACGTCTAGCATTTGATTTCCTATCTCCAGACAGTTACGTCTAGTGATTGGCCATCCATTAGTCAATTCACTGGATTAAAAGCCAGTAATTTACCTCTTGTACACGAGGTAAACCGTGTAGATTATTCTCTGCACGTGGGTAAATTTTCTCAGAGGAACCTTGTATTGCGGGTCACACTTTGTTATTCAGTCAAAATAGTAAAATACCAAACAAACAAAAGCCTACAAAAAGGACTCACGAGGAGGCCTCAAAACAAAGAGATTGCTAGAAAAAGTTTGTAAAACTTAAAGTTCACGCAATGCAACTTTTAAATTATTTCAAAATTTGGGTTAGCCTTTAAAAGTTACCAACTAAAGAGGAAACAAATGGCAACGAAAATAAACATGTCCAGTGTGTAAACAGAGACAAAAAGCCAGAGGAAAAAGAGTAGTTTCGATTTCTTGACATCAACACCTTTGGCGTCTAGACCGAGCATGTGAAGAGTCAGAGGTCCGTATCTCCTGGGTTACTGGTTTTAAAAAGCTGTTTTTTGTTTGCGGTTTTATGAATCCATTCGAAACTAAAGCCAAACAATTTAAGGAAACAAAGCAAAATTGGACCAGTACTCGGGTACTTTCGAGAAACAGGCCTTAAGTAAGCCTTGAGCTCTAAACAAGAAAAGCATGTGTTGTGTAACAGCCGAGTCTTTTGAACTTTAAACCCCACACTCGATTTGATAAACATTATTCATCCTTGACTTTTCAGACTTTGCGCCCTACAACAAATTCAGTTCTTGGTGTTAAAGTTTTACAGAGTTGAATAACTCGCCCTTTGGGCATTGTCTCTAAAACATCGATCTTTTCAATGTCAAATCAGATCGGGGCATTTTTTTTTTATAATTGAAGGGAATGATGACTCTCTTGTGATTTACTGCCAAATAAAACGCATTTGGTGGTCGTAACATGGACTGAAATTCTTCCATACTTCTATTGGCTGCATCTCGTTCAATATTGTATTTAATCTGTTCAATAAAGCATGCGTCGATACTCTTTAAGCCACAACAGCGAATAGAAACTCTGAAAGGAGAATATGATTAGTTGATAGTTAGGAGTATACGTATATTCTGACAGCCGAGTTTGTCGTAAAGGAAAAGCGCATGGTTGTGGCTTCAATGCAAGATTTGAATGTTATTCGATTACGCCAGAAATGATTAAATCGATGATAGTTATCTGCAGTGATTCTATCGATCTGGAAATTCACCCTGAATAATTTCTAATCAAAGGTAAAAAGGCCGGTGTTATTTAGCTAAGCCAAGGAGACATCTATGATGAATTCCACAAGTATTACATAAGTGACTATGCCGCTCTTTAATTTACAAAAGACGTCGATGACCACTTTACCTGTTACAGAGAAATTAGAGAAGTAAATTGGAATTTAGACAATAAGCTGTTTTCGATTTTGCTCGAACTCTACCGTATGCGCGAGGAAAAATACAAAAAATGTCAGCAAGATTCCTTGTCTGGCCGGTAATCTCCACCAGCGAATTAGCCTTGCAAGCAGACATTTTTTTTTATATTATTGCACTGTACTATTCTATTATTGCACAATACAATGAAAATTAATGAAGGGGGGGGAGGGGAGGGGAGGGGAGGTTAGGGGGAAGGGCAAAACGAAGAATAAGTTTTTAAAGAAATATCCAGTTTGTTTGCACAGTAAGTTGGCCTAAAAAAAAAACTAAAATGATGGGTATTCTGCCATAAAAATAGATTTCGTGGGAAAAACAAGTTATGAAATACTTAAACGTGAAAAAATTTTGTGTGTGGTCTTACACTGAATCGCAGTGCAAATCATACTGCGGTTTGAGTCCGTAGCTCGGTCAATCTTGTAGGTGGTAGCATACTTTGTGTATGTAGCCTAATGTACAACTTGGAAACTAGATTTCTGGTCAAAAATACGAAAACGCTGAAAGTGGATGCATTTCGTTATATATGGACAAGAGTAATGCTTTGAGAGTTCTCGTAATAACATGAGCCGCAGGCGAAAATGAAAATGACCGCGTGGTGTGTGGCTAAGTGCAGGAGACGCATTAACTCGAGTGCATCACGCGACTGACCGACTCGTGTGATGTTTTGAGGGCTTTTGTTACTGCTCATTATGAGTGACCACACAGAGAGTAATAATACATTAGCAGTTAATGAAAAATAATTATTTCCTCAGGCTGAAAACTAAAGAAAAAAACATGAAGATGGACAAAAGATTGAAACAGGCAATTTGAAAAAACCTAATTTGAAAAGTATTAATTAGCAATTATGTATCTCCTTTTATTTTGTTTCAGCAGCTGAGCCGT